ACCAGGAATCCTCCCAGAGTATGATCTGACCCCTTTTATTCCCAGAGGAAGCAAAGGAGGGAGGTTTTTTTCCTACATTTGGACCTCCCTGCTTGGGCAAAAGAAACATAACCTGGTCATAACCAAAGAATTAAAGAGGAACTTGGAGTTTGGGGTATTAAGAGTCTGAAATTTGTGCATTTTGTTCTCATTTTTGTCACTGGTTTCTGAGGTGCAGCAGCTTTACCTGGGCACTCGTTTTACCTGGAATTGCACGTGATGGTTCAAAATACCCCCTTAATGCCAGCCTTGGTTAACAGGATTTTATGGTTTCTGTTTATTGGAATTCTTGCTGCTAATTTTAACTGTTTGCAAGAAGCTTTTAGGTTCTGAAAATAACCCCCCTCCCCTCCCCAGTCCCGACATAAATAAGGGTAAATTTTCAGTTGCACTCTGGACATTTGTGCCTCTGAAGGTTCCACAAAGCAGGACAAAAACACACCAATACTAAGTTTAGGCAAATATTTTCCATAGAACGCTGCCTCCAGTATGAATTCCAGTAAATACATGACAGAAGTTCCCAAAACAACATCTTCTTTAATTATCTGTATTTCCCTGAAGAAACGGGAAGGTTTCCAGCTGCTTACTTGACCTGAGGATTTCCAGTGTCCTGTGTAGGAAATCATCCCTAATAGAGTGTTTTATTAACTTTTAATTCAATTCTTCTGTGTTTTATTGACGCTCTCTTGTTCCTCCTACTCTTTCCTCAGCTTCCACGTGCCAGATCTGGAGTATTTAAAGTGTGAGGAGCTCTCTGTGTGCTGCCACCACCTCTGAGAGCTTTCAGAGTCTCTAGAAAGGTTTGCTGTCTCCCCTCTGTCCCAGGGAAACCAGAGGACGAGCATAAAACCATGATAATAAAAGCCAAATATCTTGTGGGAGCTCTGGGGATGAGCTGTGGGGGTTTTTTTGGTCGAATCTCGTGACTTTGGAAATAATCTTACAAAAAGCACTTGGGCCTGTTGGGGTTTGGTTCGTGTTGGCATCCCAGAGCAGAGCTCTGGTGTTGGAAAACTTGCTGCTTTATTTCTCCACCTTTCCCAGAGAATCCAGGAGGAGCTGTGGGAGGCAGGGAATTGGGCGTGGAAGTGTGGAAATGCTCTTTCCAGATAGGAAATAAGTGAAATTTTACGGAGTAGAACACCGGGGTCTGCTCAGCCCCCTTTTTGAGGGTCTGCTTTCCAGTCAGGCAGGGCTGGTAATTCCAGTTTGGGTAGATCTGGGGGGAAGCTGTGGTTTGGATGTTCCTTTGGAAGTTGTTCCTGCAGAGCTTTGGGGCACCAGTGAGTTGAGCTGCAGGAAGGACTTTGGTTTGTTCCAGCAGCTCCTTTGCCGTTCCTGTAACCGGGGAGGAAACTCGAGGCAGCTCCTGGTGGGACCTGGCAACCAGCAGAGCCCCGGGGATGCTGTGCCAGCCCTTCCAGCCCTGCTTCAGGAAGCCTTTGGCTGGAACACTAGTGGGGAGCAGGAGTGGAATTCCTGCCTCTGAGGGGTGTTTAGAGGGGCTTCGCTCACTCACACACATCCCAGGAATTGTGCTGCTTCCCACCTGCACCTCTCCAGGGCTGTGGGGTTGGAACAGCTGGTCCCTGGCACAGCAGAAAAGCTGCTGAGCTGGCAGGTGGCTGCTGGAAAGGGACCTGAACTGTGCTTTCCTTGCTTGGAGTTTTGTCTCTCACCAGCTCCCGGTTCCCCGCGGGTCTCGTGGGGGGGTAGAGCAGGAATCCAAGGGGGGAGGTTGTGCAGTGGCCCCGTTGCTCGGGCAGATGTGGCTTGTTTTCCCTCCACAAGGGTGAGGTCTCACCAGCATCCTTGATTTAGCCAGGATTTGCAGCATCCTGGCAGCTGGTGTGCTCTGGGAAGGGCAGGGCTGTCCCCACAGCAGTGCCGTGGTCCCGCCCCGGGGCTCAGGGGGTGACTCGTTTTCATTGGAAAGACAAGAGGGAAGGAGCTTGTTCCCTCCAGAGGTGGATGGAATGACATTTCTAGGAACTGCAAGGCAGGAAGTTCACTCATGGCATCACCAAGGAAGAAGGATCAGGTGACTCTTTGGTGACTCTTCAGGAGATGACACAGGGATTTTGGAAGTGGCAGCAAAAACTCATTAAAATTGGGGTTCCTCCACACAAGAACATCCAAGAAGGTTAATCCAAATGAAGATATAAATCCAAATACGGTTTTAATTTGGTTTAACTTAATTCCTCTGTTTGCTTTTGTTCTGGATGAAGGTGTCCACACAGGGATTTAATTTCATCTAATGAAAGTACTTGGGTTCATATCCTTAATTAGTTTAGGGTGTGCACGTGTTCTCTTCTTCCACGAGCGTTTTCAAACGACCTGTAGCCAAGGAATTGGACACCAGGGAAGTGATGCCCGTGTAGGTACAGGGATGGTGTTGCTGAGAAGCCAAGACACCTGGAGTGCTGTGTCCAGTTCTGGGCCCTCAGCTCAGGAAGGACATGGAGGGGCTGGAGCAGGGCCAGAGGAGAGCAACGAGGCTGGGGAAGGGACTGGAGCACAAGTGCTGGGAGGAGAGGCTGAGGGAGCTGGGGGGGCTCAGCCTGGAGAAGAGGAGGCTCAGGGGAGACCTCCTCACTCTCTGCAACTCCCTGACAGGAGGGGGGAGCCGGGGGGAGGTTGGTCTCTTTTCCCAGCCAACCATCAGCAAGACAAGAGGGCTGGGTCTGAAGCTGTGCCAGGGGAGGGTTAGGTTGGATATCAGGGAGAATTTCTTTGCAGAGAGGGTGCTCAGCCATTGGAATGGGCTGCCCAGGGAAGGGGTGGATTCTCCATCCCTGGAGGTTTTTAAGAAGGGACTGGATGTGGCATCAGTGCCCTGGGCTGGGAACCACAGTGGGGTTGGATCAAGGCTTGGATTGATGATCTTGGAGGTCCCTTCCAACCCAGCTGATTCTGTGATTCTATGATTCCCTTCCCTGCCTAAAAAGGGAAGCTGGAATGGAGCAATGTCTTTCCAGCATCCATCTCTTCCGTGGGATCCCTTGTGTGGAGCGTGGCAGGGAGTTCCAGTGATATTCCTACACTGGGGCTCACAGACAGGACAGCTCAGGAGCCTCAAAGTGCTGAATCTTGGGAGACACATCTCAACTTTGCCATTGCACAAACACTCCAAGCTTGACATCACCCAGCTTCAAACCGGTTCATTTGCAGGTTGGGGAATTTTATAAGTTCCACAATTAAAGCTCGTCCTGATTTGTGCAGCAGGACTTTCGTTCCTGCCTCCTCACCCCGCTCCCCTGCTTCTCACCACCTTTCTGTTCCACTTCACTTCCCAGAAGGACCAGCAGAAAACTTCACCAGTCTATAATTTGCTGCACAAGAACCACACGGGAGGTTGTTGCTTTCTTAAAAATGCCCAGATTTTTTTCGTGTCTCAAATGCCTGGAGTTCTCTGTTCCTCCCGGAGTTTTCTGGCCACGCTGCAGAGCACGGGGCGAACACGCAGAGCTGGCCAGGCTGGCCATGAACAGCCTGCTGTGGAATGCAGTGTCGTGGCACTCGAGGAATCCACTGATCTCTGGACCAAGAGCAAGATGTTGTTTATTGTTGCTTTATAAAGGTTGTTTCGGGTCTATAAAACTCGTTCTCCGGCGCTGTCGGCTCCGCGCGGCGTCATAAATGTCCTGGGTGTGAGGCACATCTGCTGAACGGGGTTGGATGGGCTCTGGGCAGGCTCAGACTCTGTCTTGGGCCGGGTTTATCCATCTGGGCTCAAAGGATATTTTTTTTCCTGGTGAATTGATCCCTTTTTGTGTTGATATCAGCGTATCCTGGCTGAGATTCCGGGCTGAAAATGCTTGGAAAGGTTTTGTGAGAGATGATGATAAACTTCAGGGGTTTCAAGCTGTTTAACTCTTTTGCTGCTTAAGTCTAAATGTCTGCTTCTGTGATCCATTGGGAATTGATCCATTGGGAATCGATCCATTGGGAATCGATCCCTTGGAAATCCATGGGAGCGCTGGGACACAAACAGTCCAACGCACACCCCCTTTGAACTTGGGATCCTAAAGCTCTTCCTGGGGGTTATTTTGTGTCTCCTGTGTGTATATGGCAACATTTTCGCTCCTAAATGATCCCTCGACCTCTTTGTAAATTCTTTTATCCCTCTGGAAAAAGGGCTTCCCAGCTGGGAGCCCGGTGGAGCAAAATCTCTGTCTTGGAATGTCGGGTGGCATTTAGGAAATAAAACCTGCACGGCCCCAATTCTGCTGAAATTGGAAGGAAAACAAAACTTAGCCTGGCTTGAATTGGGTCTGTTATTTCTTTCCCTGTAGGTAAAACCTCAGGTGAGGGTTGGAACTCAAAAGCCTTCGTGATCTCTAAAATCACAGCGAAGCAAAAAGAGCCACCACGGGGCAAAAAGGCCGAAATTGGGCAGTTTGGAGCAGATTTGAGGGGGTTTTAGAGCTCACAGGAATATGACTTTTTAAATGTAAGCAAATGAATGTGGAGGAAGAGGCTGATTGTTGAAACAGGCAACGTAACAACAGTTTGCTTTTCCAAGCTTTCTCTTGGAAAAAATTTTGCTTCGCGTCTCCTCGGGCCGAGATCTGTAATAAATTTTCCCTTTAAGTGTCCATTTTTTTAACTCAAAACTTATATAAACACCAGAGAGAGACTCAGCTGAGCTGTTCTGTGCCCGAAATGTGGTGTAGGGAGGAACGAAGTGTCACCTCTGAGCTGTTCTCCTGCACCAAAGGTCACCTCGATTTTATCCCTTTTCTAGGTATAAATCTCTTATCTCAGGAGTTTTTGTCTTTTCTTGCTCGGAATTCTCTGTATTTCCCTAAATTTGCCTTTAAAAAAAGGTTATAAAGTAAGAAAAAAAAAAATACAGGTGGAAAAAATCGAGCTGAGCTGTTTTTTGGTGGTGAATGTTGGAGCTTTTACATTTCTCTGAGGTAATTTTTGGTTTTCCGTTTGTTTGGTTTTTTTTGTAGGATGCTGTGACGTCAAAACCAGTCATCCAGTTTCAAGGAAGCCAAGGGGTAAGTTTGTGTGCCTGGATTGCCTTGGGAATTCCACAGCTGATGGCAGGAATTTGTGCTGTTCCAGCTCAAGGAATGACGATGCTCCGGTTGCTGAAAGGGAGAGGTTGAGAGGTCCAAGGAAAGCTTTTTTTCCCCCCCTTTGTTCCCTTACCTTGCTTAAACCCAGCTTTGGAAGGTGAAATCCAGCTTTGGAAGGCCGTGCTGATGGGTAGGACAAGGAAAAGAGCACAGCAATCCATGGAAACCTCACCTGTATCCCAAGGGAACAACACCTGGTAGAGTCAGAGCAGGACTTTGTGGCTCCCACTTATTTCCTGCAGCAAAAATTCCGAGTTTTTGAAGCTTTGTTTAACATACCTGTGCCATTCCTGTGAGTACCAGCAGTTATTTTCTGTTTAGGAGTTTTATTTCTCCAACTTCTGCTCTGATGCCTGAACTCCAGGGTATTTTTAGCCCCTGGAAATGCTCCGTGGTGCCAGTTGCTGACAACGTTGAGATTTACGTGGTGGTGTTGCTGGTAAAGCCATGCAGCTCTTCAGTGAGCATGAAAAATGTCATTTAAATACCTTTCATTTATAAAAAAAAACCCCTCTCTCTGCGTTCAGCTTTAGGCTTTGCATAAAGAAGGGGAATTTTAATTTTTAAATATTTTTTTTTCTTTCCCCCCCCAAGAATCTGGACTGAGCTGTGAACAGCTTCTCGTTTTTATTTTTATGCCACTGGCACGTTAAAACTTTCAGAAAGTTGCTTGAATTAAGCAGACACTAAATCCAGCAGGTTGGCCTTGCCCACATACCACTTTGTGACATTATTCTCACTAATAGCACACAGAAAATACAGCAGGAAAGACATGATTGTTATTGTAAGTTCAGAATTAAAATACAGAGCTCCTCGTCCTGGGAAATACAGAAAGGAGCAATTTCCAGGTTTTTTGTTTGGTTTTTTTTTTACTTTGTTTAGAATTAAACTTCCCTGCAAGTCGAGATCAAACTCTGGCAAAATCAAAAGCGAGTGGGGGGAAAATTATTTTAAAGGCGTGTGGGTTTGTCTTTATTAGAAGAAAAACAGCTTTGCACGTCCTAAAGAATAAAAAACTGGGAATGCTTTCCCTTTGGAGAGCAGCACCTCGTGAGGATCTGCCCCTGACTTTTCCTGTAAAGCTGCTTAAGTTTTGGAAATGCCTCCCCTTGATATATATATTTTTTTTTAACTTGAGAAGTAGCAAAAGGAAGGGGAGAACAGCTTTAAAACACTCCCCTGCCCTGAGGCTCTTTGGGCTCCACGTGGATCCGAGGTGGACAAGGCTTAACAAAAAAACCACTGTTTGAAAAGGCTGTGGTTTCTTATTGTAATTCAGAATATTTTCAAATTATGTGTGATATTTTCAAATTGCAAGTAATATTTTCAGACGACGTGGTCCTCACAAAAAATCAATATTTATTGCGTTGGAGCCCTTAACTTCCAGAGAGGATTTTTTTTTTTTTGGGGGGGGGTGGGAGAGCTGCCAGTTACCTGTGTGAGCCCCTGGAAAAGGGGGTGGGAGGAGGATGTGGCACCCAGGGCTGACCTCAGCTCGTTAATTAATTGCCCTGACGAGCTAAAGGCCAAAGGTAGAGCTTTGAAGGGAGCAGGATCCAGCTCCGTGGGAGCAGAGAGAGAAAAAAGAGCTCTTTGTCCCTTCAGGATTATTTTTCCTGGGTATGACAAGGAGCTGGCAGCTGGGGAACCATCTGCTTTTAAGGGTAGGACTCTCAGGATTCTCCTGCTTTTAGGAACTGAGGCTTGAAATGCTTTCCAGGGATCCTCCATCAACTGGACTCCGGAGAGAATTCCAGGAATTTCACAGGCTCTCAGATCCAGATGATGGCATTGAAACATATTTTGTTTAGCTGCTTATTTTTTAAATCATTTCCTCCACTATTCCTTAATTCCCCCATTTGTTGCCTTCCTGTTTTGCCTCCCAAAAAAAACGTGGCTCTGGGGGATCCCGTTACCTTTTGTACGTGGGATTTCAAAGCAGTGGTGTGGGATTTTAGTAATTATGAGGTTTTAATAGTGGGAATTTTTTGTGCAAATATCCCACTCACAAGAAGGGAAAGCTTTACTTGATGATTAGGGAAGGCAGGGCATAAAATAAGAATGTATGTTTGTTTGTTTGTTTGTTTGTTTGTTTGTTTATTTAATATATAGGAATGTGCTTCTTCTTTAATTCTCCAGAAGCCTTTAAATTACTGTGTCCATGTCTTTTTACCTATTCCAGTGTCAGGGATACTTTCAGTTGCTAATAGACAGAAAAGCAGCTTTCATGTTTGATACACTAATTAACCAGGGGAGGGAATTGTTGGGAATGAAACAGCAGGTCAGGAAGGTGTTTTAGAAAAGGAGGATTTGGGTTCCAGCCCAAAATAAAACACCTGTTCCAGTGGCAAGGCACAAAAACCTCCTGCATGGGCCCTGGTCTGGATGGAATCTCTCAGGAGTTTATAAAAAGCTGGGATGTATTTCTCTACAGCAGTGCTGGTCTTGTTAATGGCTTTTGCAGGGCAATATTCCGTGGAATAATCACAATTTCAGTCCTGGTAACCAGCTTGTAACGAGCAGTGTTGCTCTGCTTTGAGCTGCTAAAATGGGACCGTGGATATGCCTTGAGAACAGCACCTGGTTGTTAGTTTTTCATCACAAAGTGAGTTATTTTGGATGGTTTTTAAGGTTTTATGCCCATTTCTTGAGCATTTCTCTCGTTTCAACGTGCACATAAATTAGAATTTCAGAGCCTGAGTACCCCAGCGTTACGAGCAGTGATAGTTATGCACAACTGGACAAGGAAAGGCTGAAAAAGCTTCTATTTTGGTCAAAAAGACATTCAGAATCAGAGCTCAGGTTGGGTGAAATTTGCAGGTGCTCGGTGGGGAGAGAAGGGAAGGAACTGAACTGGGAGGGGGGTTAAAAAAAAACCCTTCAGGTGCCAAAACCACGTGTGTTGTGGAGCTTTTTAACATGACTGTTGGGGGGAAAAATCCCATTGCTTTGTGATGGGAAAATACAACATTTCTCCCAATTTCTGGGCCTGAAGTTGTGCTGGTGTTAATAGAGGGGGGTGAAAAATCTCCATTCAGAGCCCTCCCCACCCAGCTGAATGTTACTTGAAAGAGGGGAAACAGAAGTCACATCTGTACCGAGCTATTTTTAAGTGTCTCTGGTTACTGGTGCAGTGCTCAGCACCAAAATTAGGGCTCCCTCAAAGCAGTCCCCATGCTGATTTGGTGGCTTGAGAAACCTTCTGTTTTCAGCTAAAAATAATTCCTAGATAACGGCCCCGAGTTTCGTACACTCCACTTTTCAGTACTGGAGTGACTCTGCCTCCTGCCTCCTTTTCCATCCTCAGAAAAAGCTGCAAAAACTCTACAAAAATGCCCAAATTGGGGCTCCTGGAGCAGCTGATTTTTTTTTTTTCCCCCAATGGTAAAATCAGGAGCGAGGAGAAAGTTCTGTGGTGTGTGAATATATGGTTTGGTTGCTTTCCTATTTTGCTTCCTCTGGGGAATCCCGTTAACTTTTGTGTGCAGTGGGATTTTTTTAAAGCCAGCGGTGTGAGATCTTAGCAGTTGGAATTACAAGGTTCTAATAGTGGGAATTTTCTGGGCAAATATTCCCCTCTCACAGGGGAAGGAAAGCTTTTCTTTTACAAACTCAAATTGTTTGCAGCACCACTCGATCCCCTGACCGAGAGCTCCGGAAGGGGGGGACGACCCCCTTGAATTCACCTTTTCTCCCCGTTCCCATTGAATTAATCTGCAAAAATACCCCCAATCTGCTGGTTCCAGGACTTTTCTTCTTGTAAAGCAGAAGGGAATTTTATTTCCCCTGCCCTGGGTGGGGGCAGAGGGTGCAGGGCCAGATTAAAAGGGCTCGAGGCTGGTGCTGCACGTTTGGCAGGGGAGATAACGGGGCTCCCCAGGGAGGGCCCAGCAGCACCCACATCCCCCCCAAATCTGCTCCCAAGTATTTTTAGCCCCGGATCCTGGGGATAACTCGTCCCTCTGTATAAAACAAGGCTCAGCCCGGGGTTCCTGGGCTTGCCTCTGGAAGAAGGGAGCTCTGTTTGAGGGCAGGGAGACGCTGCGGGGGCTCAGCCCGAGAACCATCCCTGTGGTTTAGCAGAGGGGCACAGATGCTCTGGGTCGCCTTCCAGGCTGCTGGAGACATCTGAGGTCAAAAGGAAACCACCCAAAAACCCCTCCTGTCCCGGCAGCAATCCTTCCTGAGCGCAGTCAGATGGGGATGGTTTTGCTGGGAGTGTGTATTTTCTGCATTTATGTGGCAATCCGGGTAAATATAAACCCGTGCGGTTGAGTGCAGCCCAAAATAGGTTGCAACTGATGTTCCTTCTGTCTGGTTTTTCTGGGAGCCATCTTAATTATCAAATATTGATGTGATAGTAGAGCTCAGAGGCTGACATTTACGTTGGATCTCCAAATGCAGGGGGGGGGAGAGAGAGTTTCCCTTTTGAAAAATGAATGGCTCGGGGTGAGGGGGAAGAAGGAAAAAACAATGCAGGGATGGCTGTGGAGTTGTCTGAGGAGCACAGTTAATGCTTGATTAAATATTTAATTTAGCAGCAGCGTCACACTCTACTGTGAGCCATGAAATCTTGTTATGGAATTATAATATCTTAAAAAAGAAGAAGGGTGCTACCTAGTGACCTGGCTGGTGCTATGTTTAGTGCTGGCTCACTAATTCGAAAGAAACAAGCCCTGAGTGTTCTAAATTGAATATAAACAGTCTGTTTTGAGCCTGAATCAATAGAATTGGGTCAGATTCCTAGAGCAAGGTTATTGTGGGCTCTGTTAGAGAGGCAGCAAGTCCCCTGCTCGCATCTCTGTGCTGTCTGTGGCTGCCCCACACACAGTGGGATAACTCGAATTCTCCTCGTAGCCTCTTGCCCTCCTCTCCCTCCTGTGCAGAAATCCAGGTGCTTTACTTGCACAGTGGGTGGCAAAATGCCTGAAAGCACCGTGGCTGCAGGAGAGCAGGGTTCTGTGTCAGCCTGGGGCACCCACATGACCGATGGTTTCCCTCTCCCCAACAGCACATCGCGATCCCGAGGCCCGACCGACCGACGGAAGTGAGGACCTTCACGTTTTACCTTTCAAATATTGGCAAGGACAGCCCCCAGGGGAGCTTTGACTGCATCCAGCAGTATGTATCCAGGTGAGTGGTACCTCCAAAAAAGAAAAAACCCGGCCTGTTTTTTTAACTTACCTTCCGTGGCATCTTTTCCCTGACAAACCTGGACAAAGCTCGATACGTGTTCTTCATTTTTAGAGTCTTTCTCGTCTGTCTGAGCGTGGTTTTGGGAAGCATCTGAGTTCCCTCCTGAGCTCCCTGAGTTTTGGAAGCATTTGAGTTCCCTCTCAGCTCCTCTGCATCCCCCACTAATATTTAACTGGCACAACCCCCGTTGTCCCCCGGTGTCATTTGCAGTGTCGGGAGGATCTTTTCCATGGTTTGTTTGTTTTTTTTTTTTCTCAGCAATGGCAATATCCACCTGGATTGCCTTGGGAGCATACAGGACAAAATCACCGTGTGTGCTACTGATGATTCCTACCAGAAGGCGAGGCAGAGCATGGCACAGGCCGAGGAGGAGACGCGCAGCCGGAGCGCCATCGTCATCAAACCCGGGGGGAGATACGTAGGTAAGCCCCCTCTCCATTCTGGGGGCTCTTCTCCAGGTTCTGGAGCCATTGCTGACGTTGTTTGCTTGCCCATGGCAGTCTCTGGTGGTTCCTTAGGGGTGTCTGGTTTAGGGTGTTGCTCTCCTTGTGTTGTGTCGCCTTCACGGTTCCATCATCGCCTCAGGGCTCTGCCCAGAGCAGCTGTGGCTTCCCTGTCCCTGGAAGTGTCCCAGGCCAGGTTGGATGGGACTCAGAGCAACCTGGTCTTAGTGGAAGGTGTCCCTGCCCACGGCAGGGGGTGGAACTGGGTGATCTTTAAGGTCCCTTCCCAGCCAAACCACGGTGGGACTCTGCGCGCGGCGCTGTCGGGGCCGTGTGTGTGCAGTGACATCCCTGGCTGGCTGCAGGTCACGTCTGTCACGCTGGGAGCACCCTGCTGACCCATCACAGTGTCTGTGCCCATGGCCAGCTCAGCTAAAACGTGCCACCAGCGTGTCCCAGCCTGGGGTGTGTGCCCACTCCAGAGCAGAACGTGCCACGGGTCGTGTTAATGAACAGAGAGACCACAGCAGTGCTGCAGCCTGAACAGACCATCTCGCTGGCACAGCAGGAGGAAAACCTGAGGAGAGGAAGTAAAACCGTGGCAAATATCACAAGGAGCCCGCAGAGACCCAGCTTTAGGCTGCTTAATCTCAGGTCACAAACTCAGGGCGCAAACACGAAGCAGAAAGCAGAGTTTGGTTATTTTTTTCTTTCTGAGGCAGCTGTTTTTCCTGCAGCCCATGTGATCTGTAGCCAGTCTCTGCTCAGAGGATCTGTGATGAGAAGGGTGAAGTTGCAAAATGTAGAAGTGACCCTGACTCACTGGCAGAGTGCTCAAAGGCTGAGAAACGAGATAATAATCAGGAAGGAAATGCATTGATTTCCTGTAGACTAGAAGATTATTTTGTTTAGCTCCTCTTTGAGAACATTACAGTAAGTGCATGAAGTTAAGGCTCGTGAGGGAGAAGCTTCTCAAAAGCAAATTGCTTCCCGGGGAGCCGGAGCAGAACTTCTTTGATTTAAAAATACCCCTGCTAAAACCTTTTACTGCCCTGAAAATGGAGCTGTGTAAAAGCAGTGGCCGCTCCTTAGATAAGATGTCAGCGTTGAAGACAGGAGGGGGGAGCACTGGTCCAAGAAGGAAGAGCCTGGAAAGGCCAGTCCTGGTGTGGGATACGCACATTCCCGGTGTGCCAGCACCATCAGCTGATTCCCATTCCCGGCAGGCCGGGCTGGAGGGACAGCACTGGCTCTCACATTTCCATGAGAACACGGAGCTCAGCACTTCAGCGGCAGCGGAGTCATTCCAGGCAGCTCAGATGTGGAAAAATTTATAGGAAATGTTGAAATTGGAGAGCAGCGAGAACTCACAGATGTGAACTGGCACTTGGATAAATCCATGTGTAAATAGATGCCTGCAGGTAAAGCTGCAGGGGATGTGTGTGCTTAACATCCACACTAAACGTGTGTGTGCATCCATATCCATGCACCTGCATAAATATTTTAAGATCCTTTGTGTTCTGGCTTAACTCAGTTGTTTTGGTTTGTTTTTTTTTTTTTTTCTTTTCCTATCACTGCACATTTTGGCTGCAGCCTCAAGTGGAAACCTCCCAATGTGTGTTTTTACTGTTTGTGACCTGGCAAACAGTTCAGGGAGCTCTAGAAAGCCGACGAATCTTCTCTCGTCCCAGTTGCTGGAAACAAAAAAAAAACCAGTTGACCTCTGGATTTTGGGGGATGTTCTAAACTGCAGGAGTCGTTGCTGTTCTGCCTCTCTCACCTTAGCTCAGCCCTGACAAGGAGGTTGGTTTGCTCAGAGCAACCCCGTGGTGGTGTGTGATTAAAAAAAAAGCCAGGAAATGGGGCCTGGGTTACGCAACCCGAGCTCAGCCAAACAAACAGTGCAGACAATCCCCAGTATCTTGAGATGACTCAGTTGGGAACGTGGCTTCCTAGCAGTGGAGAAGTGCCATCCTGGAATAAACCTCCGAGAGAGACGCTCGCAGGAAACGCCGGGGGTTGTTTGTCCCGGCGAAGGTCACTTTCCCTCCAGCCCAAGGGATTATTGGTTGTGCCTCCACGGCCTCCAGACCTTGGAACCTGCCCCTTTTCTTCCCAGAGTTTGCCTGGTTTGGTGGCAGGAAGCTGGCTGTGGGACCTGCTTCTGTGTTCAGAAGAGCCCAGTTCTTTGATTTGGGGCTGCTGTGAGGGTCTGTCTGTCGGTGGGAATGGGAAAAAGGAACTCTTGGATCGTGCTGTCGGCATCCAGGAACCACACCGAGGAGGCCGAGGTGCACTTTGGAGGCAGCTTTAGGTTCTCAGTTCTCTGAAAACTCAACTGGAGGGTTGAAGCAGCTCTTAGCCCAGGGCAGAAGGGGTTATTCTATGAGCACAGACAGCACCCTGATGAATAGGCTGATGGCCCAGTGTCAGCCCCATTCATGGGGCCGTGTTTGGAGGGGGAAGGGAGGTGGACCCAGCCCCATAAAGTTCCTATTGTTCTAAAAGCAGAAACATCTGCTGGAGGAGCGTTTTTGCTGAGCTCAGCAGCGGGGAGCCGCTCGTTGACCAGTTCTGGTCTTTCCACTCCCGTATTTCCACTCTTCTGCATAATAATGCAGAATTTTCTTCTCATAGGGGAGGAGGGGGGGGAAAAAAAAATAGTTAGATTAACCGTGGGGATACGTGCACTTGGGATAAACGAAAAGCTGGCAAACAAAGGGAGCTTTATGTGAGCTGGTGGCCAATAACACTCAGGTTTCCAGAGCTTGGTGTTGCTGTTTACTTGTTACGAGCTTGTCATGAGCCATAAAACTCCTGGGATGCTCGTTCCGTGTCGGAGCAGAGGGGGTTGTGCTGGTTGTGTTTTGTCCTTCCTTGTCATCTTGTGGCACTTTCAGAGGGCCTGCTGAACTCCTTTTATACGTTGTTGACAGCCCACTGGCCTTTTGCAAGGTGGCTGCTGCAGTTCACTATTCTCATCTCATTTTAGGCAAAAAGGTTCAGGTGCGTAAACCTGCACCAGGAGCTTCCGATGCTGTTCCCTCCAGGAAGCGCCCAACGCCAGTCAACCTTGCCAGTGCAATAAAGAGAGGCAATAGTGCCATTTCTCAGAGACCCTTCAAAGATAGGGTTGTGCACTTACTGGCACTAAAGCCTTATAAGAAACCTGAACTTATTCTCAGATTGCAGAAGGATGGACTTTCTCAGCAGGACAAGGATTTGCTGGATAACCTTCTGCAACAGGTTTGTACTCTTTTGACGGAGGCAACGATTTTTAGGTAAAGGGAAATGTCTTCTCAGAACCCCTCCCGTGTCAGTCTTAACCTGTTATCTCCAAACTGCAGCTCAGTGTGTCTCTAAAGGCCGTGGGTGACACAGTTCCCAGCTCAGGGTGCTGTTGCAGAGATAGCAGGGTCAGGGGGGTTTGCAACCAAGCTGGATGATTTTGGCTCACCAGATCAGTCCTGTCAGAGGAACACTTTTCCTTGGTTCACGGGGAGGATTGTCTGACAGAGGATCTGCAACTTCCTTGATTTGTTATAACCTGTCAATGTCTGTATTTTTATCCTCGTGGACGTAAAGGAGCAATGCTGTGTGGGTTTTTTTCTATGTGAAGGAAAAGATGTCCCCTCTCTTTTTTTTTTTTTTTTTTTTTGTATTGCTCTGAGCCTTTCCTGCTTGGAAGTGCCACTGGTTAGGTGTGAAGATCATGCAGCTTCTTGCCAAGCACATTATTTGTATGTCAAGTGTGAAAGCTGTCTCCAAGCTGAATCAGTTCCTAACACTTGGGAGTCACGTTGAAGGTGCCATTTTAGGCCTTGCAGTAAATCCCTTTATTGCTTTCTTAAACGCATCATGGCTATTTATTTAAGTGCTGCAGCTGCCCTCTTCTGTATTGGAATATATCCTGGAAAATATTCTGATGTTTGTTTAGGTTTTTTTTTTTCATTCTACTCCTTTCCAGAGCTGAAAAAACCCTGAGACAGGACTCAGTTTGCCTCCAGGGCACAGGGCAGGTCCCATTAAACCCGGGCAGTTTCCAGCTGGCACAACTCGCTCCTTCCTTTAAGACGTTTAATCCTGGAACCCCTTAATTTTTTTTTTTTTTCTCTCTAGCAGCGCTGGGATTCTTTTGGAGCACCTTTTTGAGTTGCTATAAATAGGTTTTCAGACTAGAAACTCTCTTCCTGAGGATCCCTCTGGACCTGATGCTCCCCCGAAGCCCCCGGCGGGGAAAGCGGCGCGTGCGGCCCCGGATCGGCCTAAATGCTGATTTGGCTGGAAACGTGTGTGTGTGTGTGTGTGTGTGTTGCTCATAAAAGTTAATCCCTCTCAGCCCTCCCAGGGCTCCCCTCCCATCCACCAGCAGACACAAGATAAGCTAAAAATTACAGGCTGTGTTAAAAGCTCCACACGTCTAAATCCGTCGAGGTGTGGGTTTCGTTGGGCCTCTTGCATCTCTCGCAGGACTCCGTGTTCCTGACGGCCTTTTTGCCTCGTTTTGCAAGGTTTCTATTTTTGGGAGGGCCGGGGTGGAGCTTCCAGAGTCCCACACAAGAGCAAAAACAAGGAGGTAGCAGCAGCTCTCAGGCTCCGTGGAGAGAAGGAAAAATCCCCGAGTTGGTTCTTCCCAGGGCTCCAGAAACGGGCAGGAGAACCAGGAGAAATTCTGGGAGGACTTCTTGAAAAAGGAACCCTGGCTTTGCTTTTGTCTCTCGGGTGTGTTTACAGGGACACCTCGGTGTAAAAACACGGCTCAAATTCTTCTTGTATTTTGGCTCAGGATTTTGGAAAGCTGACAGGAACTGAAAGGAAAAACAAAGTGTTGGTCGTGTAAACTGATAACTGGGCTTTCTATTTTTCTCTTATCAGGAGAGTTTGCTGTGTTACTTGTGCAGCTTTTTTTTTGCTTTGAACTGCCTAGATTTTTAATATTTTTTTCACTTTTGGTCGTAGCCTCCCTGAAGCAAAAGCAGAGGAATCAGCAGCATCTTCAGTTCATTCGAGACTTTCCACTCCTTCTCTTGTTTTTGAGGCATTTTACTGCTGTGTGGATAATAGGAATCCCTAAGCACAGCCATCTCCTGAACAGAGGGAGCCCTGGAGAACAGTAATCCCAGAGCAGATGCACAGGGACTCCATGGACTGAGTAAAAACATCTCCCAGTTTCAGGGGTGTAACAGTCCCTCAAGCTCAGGGGCTCAGGCAGGGAATTTTGGGATGCAGCTGCTGGCTTGGCCAGTGGATCAGCCTGGCTGTGGCAGAGCTTTTGGCACCTGGGCCTCTGTGTCCCTCCTCAAACACACATTTAAGGCTTTATTTTCTTCTTAAACTTGCAGTGCTCCGCAAGCACAGGTTTTCCCAGAGAAGCTGGGGCTGCCCCATCCCTGGGAGTGTCCAAGGCCAGGTTGGAGCAACCTGGGCTAGTGGAAGGTGTCCCTGCCCATGGAATGAGATGAGCTTTAGGTTCCTTTCCCACCCAAACCATTCCATGACTCTGTGAATCACCTGAGAGGGGTTCACTGTCAGTGACAGCCTGATTTGGGCTCTTTGCCTTGTTCCAACGCTGGATTTTTCAGATGTGTAACCAGCAGCAGCGAGAAGTTGAATTTTCAGTCGAGCTGTGGAAAGACTGATCCGAGTGGGATAACTCTGAACCAGTTGTTTCCATCCTAATCCTAACCCTGCCTGTTCCAGCAGTGTTTCCTACCCAGGCAGGGTTTTGTGGGGGAAACTCCACGGGGTGGAACTGGATAAAATGTCAGGCAGCGCGTGCTGAGCTCCCCGCGGTGCCCAGGCTGCAAATCACAGGTTCTGCTCTTGCCCTGAAGTACCCTTGGAAGAGTTCTCTGTGCAATCCAGTGGATCTGCATTCTCCTCTCTGCTCCCCGAGAAAGCAGCTCTCTGTCACCTCTTTTCCTGGCTCATTCAGCGAGGAAATATCTCCTGGCAATTGTTAACTAAATTATTGCCACGAGAGTTCCTCTCTCAGCCATAAACTGCCCTGTTTTGGCTGTGGCACAGGTGTGATAAGAGAACTGCCTGTTCCCATTAGGGTTTATTTCCAGGTGTTCCCATAAACTGCTGTTGTGCTGGTCCAGGCTACCCAAGCTGAATAATCTTTTTAGATATGACTTATTTCCCCACTAAACTGGATGTGCTTTAGGAACTCGTTATGAATTATCGCAGTGACAAGGCAGAAGGAAAGGCACAGTTTGATTAAATAATCTTAATGATTAGGAAATGAAATATTGAAGTCCTTGTTCTCTGACACTGCTAACTGCTAAGTCTGCTCAGAATTTGCCTTTGTCTTAGCTCTTGTTTGTTAAAAGAAGTGAGAAAATTAAACCCTAATGATGTTTTTACGGATTACTTCCATTTCAGGTGGCAAATTTGAGTGCCAAGGACAGCACTTTCACACTGAAGGATTGTGTGTACAAAGAAGTGCAGAAGGACTGGCCTGGCTACTCAGAAGGAGATCAGCAGTTGCTGAAGAGGATCCTGGTTAGGTAATTATCCCATGTTCTCCCTAATTTCACCTGGAGCTTGGAAATCAGGGTATCTGAGGGCTGAAAGTTGAGTGTTTGACTCATTTTAACATCAGGCAGATGGAGGAGTTGACCAAACTTGAATATCCAAGTGGATCCACTTTTCAGGTGGTCCTGGGTTGCCTTTAAACCACTCTGCTGAGAACTTGAGGAAAACCTGGATAGGGAGCAGAGCTGGCAGAGGGAAGTTCCAGTGGATTAAACGTGTCCAGCTCAACTCTCCACTGAAAGTCTCCTTCCCTTTGCCCACATCTCCTTGCACGTGTCTGCCCGTGTTTTAAAGGCAAGGAGAAGATGTTACCAGGCAGCCACATCCCTGGGGTTCAGATCTGACTGGGAGAAGGGATGCATGGAAAAGCAGAGGCGGTTCCATAGGGATAAATCCCCTAAAACACGTTCTGGGTGTCCTGCTGCTGATCCTCTGTGTCCAAGGGATACCTGTTCCCCTGTTCCTCCCTGAAAACAGCCCTTAACACACTCACTTGATCCTTGGTTGCTGAAGATATTTTTCCTCTACAGACATTTTTCCTTAAGTGAAGCCTCCAAGCTTGGAAGGGCAGCAGGGAAAGAGCCCAAATCTCCTGGGTTTCTCCAGGAGAATTCTTCTCTGAGTGTTTATATTTCCCTCTCTGGGTTTTCAGTGCCTTTGTAATGCAGACAGAGCTTTTACTTGTGCCTTATTTTATTGCACTTTTGGTTGGGATGGAGCAGAGTGTGCTCTGTTCGAGCAGCTCCCATGATTTAAAAGCACAATTTACTTGGAGATGAGACTTTGCTAAACCCAACAACAGAAAGTTGCACTCCGAGTGCTTTTGGTGTGCTGAAGTAAAATCAAACTCCTTTAAGTGGCCTTGATGTTAAATTATAATTAAAAGGAGAGCCATAACTGCCATGCAATCTTTATGGCTTTCCAAAAACCCAGCGAATTTCTCCCCGTAGAAAGCAACGTTTGCTGCTTTTTTTTTTTTTTTTCTTGAATTGTGGTGCTCAGTTAGGAGGAGGTCTAAAAATAGACCTTGGAAAGGATGTATTCAACTGTACAAACAAAGCCCCGCTCGGCCCATGCAGGTAATGAAGCTCCAAAATGGAAAAAAAACATGTAGGGTTTGAAGGCAGGAGAAAAACAGCCACGAAAAGGGCACAGGCGGCGGCAGACGTTGGATTTACGTCGCCGGCGTTGCCTGGAGCCAACCAATTGTTCCGTGTCCTCCTGGTTTTCAGGGCCAGTGGCCACTGGACGGTTCAGCAGCTGCAATAATTGGAACATCTGCAAATGTTGGAGCTGTAACTAACCCTGCTCGTCGCGTTCTTCCTCCTGTTTTTGTGTTTTCCACCCTCCTGCGGGTGTAGAACGGGACCCTGAGTGACCTGGGCTGGTGGGAGGTGTCCCTGCCCATGGCAGGGGGTGGCACTGGATGGTTCTTTTCCCACTGGATGGTTCTTTTCCCACTGGATGGGCCTTAAGGTCCTTCCAACCCAACCCATTCCAGGATTCCGTGGAACCTTCAGCTGTTACAAAGATCCTGAACTGAACCCGTTTGTCTTTCATTCCCTTCTTAAATCCACAATTAACAATTAGGAGACATGACCAGGTTGCTCAGGCTGATGACCCAGCCCCCAAAAAAGCCACTTTCCCCGGGGTGTTGGTGCAATGTCACCGTCCCTTTCCCATTTTCACAATCCCCAAGTACTTTCCTTGAGCTGCTGAGTTTGTTCTAAATAAAATTAAACAAAGCCGGGCTGGCTGTGACTAAATGATGTCTAAATATTGCTGCAACACAGCCCAAGGTTCAAGCTCAGGTTAAAAGCAAAATCTTGTCAAGTCATGGGCGTTATCTCTGAAATAATCTTCCTAATGTTTAAAAAATATGGACTTTAATGCTGACTGTAGTTTTCTCGTGGAAGAATTTAGACCTGGGTTATTTGGGCTCCACAGCTGGTGACAAACTGACTGCAGAGCTACTTTATTAAAGACCTTTAACCCTGAATTCTTCCTTTTTTTTTAATTTTTTTTTTCAGTTTGTCAGCTACAACTTGATGCAACAGTAGTGGGTTTTTTTCTGGGTGATTAGTACAGGGACAGTCTGGGCAAAGCTGGTGGGCTGGGAAAGCACTCCAAGATCTGGGGAGGAGCAGAGACCTGGCCTGAAGGGGAATTAAGGCACTTGAATGATAATAATTGTAATTTTTTTTTTGCTACAAGAGGTTTCTATTATTTGTCAAACGCCACAGATACAGCCCAGAGTAGCTTTGTTTTGCATGATGCAACTTAAAAGTGTTATTGTGAAGCCCTAAATGTAAATCCTAGTAGACCAATAATACCTCAGCAGTTCCTGTTATAATCCTGTTTTTCCTGGACCCAGAGGGGCTCGCTGCTGAAAGGACTGCTGTTCCCATAAAATGTTGTTTTAATGATGCTGATGAGTGGGAGAACTTATTCCTTAACATCTGACCTTGAGTTTCAGCCCCTCTTCAGTGAGCTTTGCTTTCTGAGTTGTCTGCTGAAGTCAGTTTTAACTGGGTAAAGCAAAAACTCAGCAGAAATTTGTTCAATTAATGTCTTACTGAGCTGTATTTCAGTCAGAAGAACAATCTATTATATCCTTTACACTTCAAAATTCAATGCCAGTTTTACTCATCTCCACATGGATCGTGTTTCTGAGGCCGTCATTAATTTGTTGCAATTCTTACATCACAAGTCCAAGAGGAAAGAGGTAAAAAATGTTGGAAAATCAGTTCCATCCTCAGCAGGGAACCCTCTCCTGTGTCTGAGAGCTCAGCCTTGCCTCCTCCCTCCCTGGCAGTGCTGGTCCCTCCATTCCCAGAGAATCATCAAACAGAGTGGGAAAGCAGGAAGGAGATAAGGAATTACCACTTGTCACTGATGTTTTCCTGTAGTAGTTTCTCCTCCCTGGATTTTGTCAGAGATCAAAGCTGGCAGTGCCTGAACGAGCTGCTTCCGTGGCATCTCATCCCCAGCCCAAAAAAAGGCTCTTTGCTCCACGGGAAGATGGGAAATGCCCCCTCCTGCCTTGCCAAGGCCCAGGATCTGACCATCCCCAACCTCCTGTTTTCCAGGAAGCTCTGCCAGCCCCAGAACAGCAGCGGTTTTCAAGGAGAAGCACCTTCCCTGAGCCCTCCAAAGGACACGGTGAACTCCAGCTCTCCCCCTCAGGTGGGTGATCCCAAGGTGATCCCTGGCATCCATCTCCTCCTCCTGATGGATTTGCCTGCTGGAGGTGTGTCCAGGCAGAGCTGTTGCCTGTCTGCACCCCATAATCACCTGCTGGTGGGTCGGGAGGTCGTTGGGGTTTTATTTCTGTTTTATTAAGTTCCAGTCTGATCCTGGGTTCCCTCAGCATCTGTTTCTCCTCTGGCCGTGTGGGGAGAATCCCTCACAGCGTGTCTCAGCTTCAGTTTTTAGGGCTGAATTCTTTTTCCCCAGTGCCCACATCCCTCCTGGAGTTCCTGGGAGGGCGAGCTCGTGTTTTCCTCATTACTAATAATTGAGTGGAACGAAGCCTTTAATAAGCAGCTCCCAAACACACTCCAGAGTTATTAAAACCCTTGACCTTCTGCGGCCTAATGGCCCTGACAGATCCAGGAGGGGCAGGTTGGGCTGCTCTGGGATGGGAGCTGTGAAAAGAACATTTTGCCTGTTTTTTCCATGAGAAGAAGAAGAAACACCCCCCCCCCTCTGAAAGGAACTGTGCTTGGTGTGTGTGTGTGTGTGTGTGTCAGGCAGAGTCTGTCCCCACTTTTCCCAGGATCCTCTCAGCACAGGCGTTTCTCACATTGTGAAATGTCTCCTTCCCTTCTCTCTCCACTTGTGGGTCAGCCCAGACAAGTTGAGTATTTATTCTTCTCCTGCCAGTGGAATGTGTAATTCCTACTTGTCTGGACAGACGCACTGAGGATTAGTGGCAAAGAATATTAGCAGGTAAAGAAATTATGTGCTTTCTGGCAGTAAGAGGGAGGCAATTCTCTATTGAGAACAAGGACTGTGTAACTCGTTTGCCAGGTAGCTAATTCCAAATCCTCTCCTGCTCTGCTGTGGGCATGTTCCTGGGGAATAAAGATCACCTTCAAGTTAGCTTGGAAACACACAGTGCTGTTAACAGGCTGGGCTTGTGTGTTTTTTAACTGATTCTGGAAAAAAAATAAGGTTGAAAAATCAACCTTGCTTCTGGCTGGCCCTGTTTTGGAAGACTCAGAGGCCTGTAGGGGATGGTTTGGGTCTCTGGAGTTTGAAACTTTGGGGTGCTTGGTTGGTTTGGATTTAGAAAAGGTGGTTGATTGGCTTGGATTTAGAAAAGGCTGGTGAAACAGGGGCAACCAGGTGGGGGATTGAAGTGTTTCCAGTAGTGATTCTGTTGTGTCAGACACCAAACCACAGCATTGTGAGCTGTCACTTTTTTTAATACTCTCTAGCTGTAGTTTCTGTTTAGAAAGGGATGGCTGCTAATGGGTGCAGTGCCAGCAGAGGACTGGGATTTGGTAGTCAGGAATGCAGAACATTTTGGGAAAGTTCAGCTGTGGAGTGAGGATGTTAAAAAAAAATAAGGATTGGTCTGGTAATTCTAAGGAAACCTGGCCGAGCAGGGATGGGATGCACATCCACCTCATAACCAGGGAGGTGAAGCTGGTGTCTGTTGGGTTGAGAGAAAGGGTGGTAAAATAGGGCAGTTTGGTGGTTTTTTTAGTGACCTGTTCTGAGAGCTGCAGCCAGAGGTGGCCCCTCCCCTGTGAGATGGACACCGTGTGTTCTGGGAGGTGATGTTGCGAAGCCGGTTGGACGTGCTGGCCTTGCCCCTGGAGCTCGGTGGCAGAACCAGCAGCTCCTCTTCCTAATCACCTGGACAGGTGGGAAGGATCCCTGGCGTGGAGCAGAGTCCTGCAGACCCCTGAGTTAGCAAAGAGGAATAACAACCAGGGAGGGAAAGGAGGGAATTAGGGGCTCCTCGAGCCGTCGCCTCTGCGATGGAGCAACGTTTCCATTTGCAAACACGTCACAGCCCTGCCTGAGACAGAAAGAAAATAGTGAATTATCCAAAAGAAATACCCAAAACTATTGCCTGTTTTCCTCTGGGCACTAAATAATCCCTGCTCAGAGTTCCTGCAGCCCTGGAGCTGCCAGGTGGGCACACACAGAGGGCTGGCCGGGGTGATTTTGGCTGGCACACGCTGGGCTGAGCCCGACAGCCGTGGGTCTGGCTCTGGGTTCTGCTGCCTGATGGATGGGTTCTTCCATGGAGCAGCTTTTCCAGGCTGGAGAACTGCCTCCAGGGAGGTGTGGGCACATGGAGCTGCTCCAGAGGCTGCCTGTGACCGTCCTGCTGAGGGGCACGGCCGGGAACAACTTCCCTCTCTGCACTTGTTCAAAAAAAAAAAAAGGATCACTGGGGTCACGTTGGCCCCCGTGACGTGGCTTTTGAAGTGCTGTAAACGTCCCCTTTCTTGCCTGAACTTCTGAGAACTGAGCAGTTGGCACTTCCTCAGCTCTTCCGGGCAATGCCTGGCTCTCGAGAAGAGGAAGGAGTGGGTTGCAGGGGTGAAACTGGTGAGCACAGAGCTGGGAGGGAAGAAAATGCAGAACTGGTGAATCCCCCTCCCTGCCCCGCAGGTCTGAGCACGTTTTTTTTCCTTTGCAGGGGATTTGGGGTGCTCTGGATGTTGTGCCATGACCAGGACAGGTGTTTTTATCATGGAATCCTGGACTGGTTTGGGTTGGAAGGGACCTTAAAGCCCCTCCAGTGCCACCCCCTGCCATGGGCAGGGACACCTTCCACTAGCACAGGTCGCTCCAAGCCCTGTCCAACCTGGCCTTGGACACTTCCAGGGATGTTTCCAATCTCTGCTAATTGGCTGGGACAGGGGTTTGGATTCCAAAGGGCTGGATTTGAAACAGGCTGCAGTGAGAGCAGCCTGGGTGGCATGGCCTGTGTCTGGATAGAGTGGGAGATCAGTGATTCCTGACGGGATGGTGGGATCCTCCAAGCTCTCCCACCAAGCTGTAGTCTCCGGAAGGCTGTCAGGAAGCAGCTTGGGATGGATCAGCTGCTTTTCCCGGGCATACACTCCCTTCTTCCCTGTCTTGCACCACCACCTAGTGGTGACCCTCCAGCCCTCGCCATCACCCGCTTTTTTTTTTCCCCCCCGTTTCCCTCCTCAGAAACGATCCCAGCCTCTGGAGTTCATCGACCCCCTGGCCAACAAAAAGCCCAGGATCTCGCATTTGGCTCACAGAACCCAACCCACCTTCAACGGGAAGCTGAGCTCCTCCAACGGGAAGGACACCCCCAACGCCCCCCCCGCCCTGCCGCCGGCGCTCCCCCCGGAGTCGGGAAGCTCCTCCAGCTCCAACCTGCCGGTGCTGGAGCTGCCCCGGCCCCACGACCCCCTCTCGGATGTGAGCAACGACCTGGCTCACAACGGCAGAGACTGTGAGAGCAGCGAGGCCACGGACAGGCTGAGCCACCCCCCGCCCACAGACTGTCCCCAGACCAGCAAACACAACTGCGGCTCCTACGTCAAATCCAAGAAAAAATCCAAAAAGCACAAAGACAAGGAGAAGGAGAGGAAGGAGAAGAAGGGCGAGGAGAAGTGCAAAGAGGAGAAGCAGAACTGTGAAGTAATAAAAAACGCTGACTTAGGTAGTGTTCCCCAGGAACAGGTCACAGGTAAGGACGGGCCGAGAGGTAATTTTGGTGTTGGCTGGGTGTGATCCCGCTCTGGATCCTCTGAGGACGGAGGGAGCACGTCCTGTCCGCTCCCAGACACCGCGGGGGACGAGATGCCGGCGCTGTCCTACCTCCAAATCACCAAAGGTGCTTCCTCCCCAGAGAGAGGACGGCAGGTTTTTCCTGTTTAACCTTTCGGGCTGTTTTGGAACTGCCTCAGAGCGTGTCATGTCTCTCTCCTGGTTCAATTAAAAGCCGGGATAATCCGTGGGGATGAAAGGCAGGGAGCCAGGCCTGGGAAGAGCAGCTCCTCGTGGGGGTTGTGGTGGCTTTGTTTGGGGTTTTTTTAATGAAAAGTTACTCACAAAACCTTTTAATATTGGATACAAATGAAGAGATAGAGAAATCTGGTGATAAATGCTGTCCAAGCAGTATCCAACCAGCTCTTCCAGCCTGGAAGAGCTTCCTTGTATCCCACTAGGACTCTGAATTTATTTATTCAAGGACTGACACAAGAGTGAATCTCGTACAGAAAACATTTTCCCTAAACCACTGTTTCAAAGTCAGTTCTGTGAACTCTTAGAAGCCAGAGCAGAGAATATCTCTTGGCCAATCCCATCCACTGCCTTTCCTGCTGCTTCCATGTTTTCTGCTGTTTGTCCCAGCTCCCCAGAGCGCTGGGACTTCCCCTGCAGCCTCTGGGAGTATCTTTTAAATTTCTTTTTGAATCCATCTCGTTTTCCTTTGCCCTGCTCCTGCTTTCCACGTTCCCCTTCGTGCCTGGTGCATGAAAATCATTCAGTTTTGGCTCAGAAAAAGGACAGTATCTTGGAAATGGAAACGTAATTTGCTGGATTCCTGGAAAGGGAGCCATTCCCAGGGCCCCGGGGCTGAGCTGGTGTCAGCTCTCACCTTCCCCACAGTGTTTGTAGCACCTACAGAAGCATTTTGGTGGCTCAACAGTGATTTTAAGGACAGTCCATGGATCTGATGGTTGTGTTGCACTGCAGGATCAGCTTTTTAGATAATTCTTCTACTTTAACCTTCTCTGGTGTCAATCCCAGTTTTTTTCTGGGAGTGTTGGCTTTCTCCCATGTGGGTTTTCCTCCCCGGGTACCTCTGGGGTGGTTCTGGATGGGCACACACAAGTTTTCCTCTCTTCATTTTTTTGTCCCTGTTTCTTATAAACACCCAAATACCCCGAATTCTGAAGTTGCTGAGCCTTCACCACCTTCTCTGCTTGGCCTCACAGCTTAATGACTGGGTGTCTGTTAATTAGTTGGGTTCTGTTCCTGCTGCTGCTTGGGAGGGAACGAATCCGAGCTGGATTGGGAGCAGTCACAAACAGGATGTGGTCAGTCCTGCTTGGATCCTGGACATCCAGCACTGGGAGCTTTTCCCTCTGTGCCTTTGTGCCTCGTCCTGCTCCTTCCCCAATTCCCCCCCCTGGGGCTGAAGGGAAATGTTTGATGGAATCACGGAAAATTTGGGTTGGGAGGGACCTCAAAGCTCATCTCATCCCAACCCCTGCCGTGGGCAGGGACACCCTCCACTAGGAGTGGAAGTTTCTCCTGGGAAGTTTCTTGCAGAGGGACCTCTGGGGTCCTCTCAGCGTCAGTAGGTGGCACTCACAGGCAGAACAAACCTCCTTGTCTCCCTTTCTCCTCCTTTCCTTAGCCCACATCCTGCCTCTTCCTCACTGTGGGCAGGGAAGGAGGGAAAACCAGGATTTATCTGCAGTGGGAATTTGAGACTGGGGTGGTTTTTATAAACCCTGGGTTGGTGCCATTCTCTGGTTCTGCCCAGGAAAGCCTTTCTGTAGAAATTCGGGGGGGAAAAACCAGTTTTTAAAAAGCTCTGATTGGGTTGTTGCTGACTCTGATGAGGACTTGGGAGTATGACACACAATTTGTGAGAAATATCCCTTTTCAAACCCGGGTCCACTTGCTTTCTCCCTCCAAATTTCCCCTGCAGTGCTTGGCTTACACTGAGGATGGGTCTGGTTTAGGCTCCCTCCGAATCCTGTTCCTCCTGAAATCTTTGCTCCCTTCCCTGAAACTCCTGAACATCCTTAACTGAGCCCTTATCGATGCTGACCCCACTTCCTGGAGCAGGGAACACTTGGATTTGTGTGAGGAGAGAGCTGCATTCCCTCTAATAAACCTCTGTGTGGTGCCCTGTAGGGCTCTGGATTGCCAGCATCAGGAATCTGCACCTGGAATATTCCTCTGGGGAATCTCTGAAGTGTAGGAGCAGGAGAAAAGAACATTCACCTTGCTCAGCTCTGTTCTCTGGGCTCAGAACGTGTTTTTCCCATTCCCAGTGGTGCTATCAGTGTTATCCCACTCCAGGCAATGTTTATACACCAATTAAATTCAGATTTTTTTTCGGGCTGGCTGATGTTGGGGTTGTTTTGCTGACAGACAAATAGTAGAGAAGCCTTGAACTCTCAACCACCTTGTTGTGGCTCTTCTGTCTCTGTCGGTTCCAAGCAAAACAGAAATCCTTTAGAATTCCATAAACTGGGTGTTGCAGACCAGTTCATGAGGTTTTGAAGTTGAATTGCAAAGAGCATTGAAGTTTTCAGAACATCTATAAACAAGCCTTTATTTTTTCAGGTTTAAATGGAACATGCAATAATTCTAGTGTACCAACATCAACTTCAGAAATGCCAGATTATTTATTGTAAGTATTTTTTTATGGGTTGCTTCGTCACTTTGGGATCGTGTTTCAAGCTAAAAAAAATCACAGTGCACTGGGGATTTTTGTTGGACTTTATGTTATTTGATAGAACTTTGTAAGGTGGGTTAAAAAAAAAAAGAAAGAGTGAATGCAGCTTTGCAGAGTTCCTGAGACTTAACTTGGCATCAAATCAGTTTTTTTACCTCCCTGTGGAGTGTTCAGGTTTATCTCCTATAAACTGATTGTTCAAGTAGTTCAGGAAACATTTTATACCTTGGAGGGGTTGGAAAGGATTAAACATCTCCATGTTACAGTTGGAAACTCGGAGAGGAAATAATCTGCTTTAATGTGGAAGACAAGGCGAGGAAGGATTTGGGGAGGTTTCCTAATTCTTCCCCTCTCCAGAGCCAAGATCATCAGCATAAAGCAGTGAAATATTCTTTAAGGGGAGGTTCTAACCCCTGGGTTGGGATGTGAGTTGTTTGACTCTTTAATGAGATCCCCTGGAGGTTCATGAAACAACCCACTCCAAAAAAAAAAAATAACCCTGTGCACAAAGCCCAGGATCTGCATAAACCCCAAAACCTGTTCCAGGCAAAGCTTTGGGATGGGGAGGAAGTGTAGCTGGGGGGGATGTTCCCTGTGCATGTCACAGCCTGGGGTTTGATTCCTTCAGAGCTGGGATCACTGGCAGGGAAGGGATGGAGGAGGAATTCCCTGGAACTGGCTGGAGGAGATGAAGGGTTCTCGTGTGGTTTTCTGGGCTGTGTGAGCCCCAAACAGCCCCCTCAAGGTGACACTTTTAGGGCCATTCAGAGGAATTTGGGTGGCTGGGGGGGGGTTTCTTTCCCAGATGTGCTGATCCCTCCTACAAAGGGATATTACAGCTCCTTGGTCCCTCTCCAGAGCATCAATGGGAGGTTTCTGAGCTCTCTGCTCTCACCTTCTGGTGGGATCCAACTGTTTTGATGGTCAGATCCTTAAATTACAGGAGCTGTGGCACATTTTAAGAGCTGTTTTAATCGTGAAGGTGAATGTTTTGTGCTGGTAGAAGACTTTCCTCCTGTCCTGTGTTGATGCTTCTTTATCCCAACCCAGCAAGGAGTCAGTTCTTGAAGGCTAAAGCACTTAAAGAGTGCTTAAAAGGTTAAAAGAGTGAAATCTCCCCCTTAATTTGAGGCCTAAATTGCCTTTTACCTGCTCAAGCACCGAGCTGGGGCTGCTGCAGCCAAGTCAGGGAGGCAAATTACAGCCGTCCACTCCCAAAAATTGAGTTTTTACCTTCAGAGAGGGCTGTAAATGTCAGGTTTAATGGCTTTTTTGTTGAGCTGAATCACTTCCAAAGGGCCCCAGAGGCACATCTGCTCAAAGTGAGCAACTTTGGGTGTCTCCAGAAGGTGCTGGAAACGGAGTCCAGCTCCTCACCGTGGCTTCTTGTCGTGCTCTTGCCACATAATCACCCCTGTGAGCGTTTTGCAACGATGGCTCAATGCTTTTTGTGTTCCTTTAAAGACTCAGCACTGGAAGCATCGTATTCCTGCTGTTCCAGTGCCTGGCACAGAGGCAGAACTCCATGTTCTGCAGGACAGCAGGAGTTAGAAAAGCTGTAGCAGCACTATCTGAGTGTCTTCCTCCACCCACAGCTGCTCCCAGGCTGTCGTGTACCTGTGTATCCCACACTTATCAGAGATAGGAAGTTTTGGGAGCAAAACAGTGTTTTTGTTTTACAGGGAGGTCAAGGCAATAATCCTGACAGTTACCTCCCAAAGTTGCTACTGTGGTGCAAAATCAGGATGAGAGGAAACAGCCTCAGAGTTGCAGCAGGGGAGGTTTAGATTGGCTGTGAGGGAAAATTCCTTTGCTGGAAGGTGGTCAGGCACTGGAACAGGGAATCACCATCCCCAGGGGAATTAAGACATGGGGATGTGGCACTTGGGAACGTGGGTTAGTGGTGGGCTTGGCAGTGCTGGGGGAGTGGTTGGGTCTGATCTTGGAGGCCTTTTCCAACCTTAATCCCAGAAACTGGTTGGGGTGGGAAGAGACCTTAAAGCTTAAAGTGGATCCAGGGACACCCTTCCCGTATCCCAGGTCACTCCAAGCACCATCCAGGCTGACCTGGAGCTCATCCAGGGCCGGGGCAGCCACAGCTTCTCTGGGAAAACCATTCCAGTGCCTCCCCACCCTCGCAGCCGACGATTCCTTCCCGACATCCCACCGAAACCATTCCACGATTCCAAATCGCGCACGGCTCGTTTTCCAATCCACCAGAGGGGACTCCCCCTAACCCCATCCCCCCCAAACCCCCTTTTTCCTGCAGAAAATACGCGGCCATTTCCTCCTCGGAGCAGCGTCAGAGCTACAAGAACGACTTCAACGCGGAGTACAACGAGTACAGGGACTTGCACGCCCGGATAGAGCGGATAACCCGGCGCTTCACGCAGCTGGACGCCAAGCTCAAGCAGCTTTTGCAGGGCTCTGAAGAGTATAAGGTACAAAGGGGCAGGATACACATTAAAACACATTAAATACGTGTTAAATATTCGTTAAAACCCCCTTTTTTTGGGCGGGTCAGTGCCGGAATTCCACCCGGAGCCGGTGGGGAACGTGCGCGCAGCCGACAGCTTTGGGGGCTGCCCTTCTCCCAGCTCTGTGCTGCTCCCTTTTCAGGCTGGAGCCACATCATGGGACTTGTTGACAAGGAAAGGCCTCAGTGAGACAATTGGCGTCCTCAGCCAAAAGCTGCTGGAAGCTATTAGTGTATCCCAGCCAGAAAAACTCATATTTGCACATATGGGAGCGTATCGGGGCTGGAAGGGGAGTTAGCACGGGGTCATCTGCTCCTCTGGAATCTTTGATCTTCCCAAGGCACCATTATTGGACTTGTCAGGGTGATTTTTAAAGAGTTTTAGCTATTCATTAGCTTGAAAAAGTAAGCCTGGTTGAGGGTAATAAACAGATTTTTACAGAGCACCTATTGTGCTGAAGCTCCCTCAGACATCCCTCCCCTCCCTCCTTGCAAAATTCGGGGATCCAAATTTTAATATCTTTGGTGGGGGGGGGGGAAAGATCAGCTGGAGCTTTGGAAATGTCAGTTATCCCAGAACTGAGGTGCCTGTTACAGGTAGTTCTCACAGCTGGGGAGTGGGGCCTGATCCTCCCAGTGCCTCTGGAGCCAGCTCCAGTATATTCATGGAATCAGAGACTGGCTGTGGCCACCAGGGAAGTCGTGGAGGGAGCAGATTCCCGTTGGAATTTGGAGGAATCGTGTACGTTGAGCCATCAGGAAATATCTCCTGCTGCAGGAGGTTGCAGAACTGAAAATAATAAACCTATTCCTCCCCCCCCTTTGTTGTTTTTTTTTTTTTTTTTTTTAGACCATCCATGATCAAATTTTACAGGAATATCGGAAAATTAAAAAGGTAAGCGAATGTGCTTGGCCACAAAAAGGCTTTTTTGGGTGGTGCCCCTGGTGTGACTGAAAGAGATGGGCCCCTGCCAAGTGCAAACCCAGGCTCTGAGGCATTCCAGCAGATCTTTGTTCAGCTCCAGCCCGTCCAGAAAGCAGCTCAGGAAGGGTTTGGGGGGAGCTGGGATCCCAGGGAGCGCTCAGCCGTGGCCGTGGCACAATGGCTGGGTGAAATCAGGGCCTTTATCTCTCCAGGGAAAGAACAGTTTGTGTTTTCAGATGCACAGGCTGAGGGATAACAGGATCCTCCAGGATTTTTTTGGGGGAGGGGGCTGGTACACGAGGTCCAGGCTGGGATCGGTGTCTGGGGCACTGAAAAACATTAAATTTCTCTCTGTTTATGCAAAAAAAAACCACCCACACACCAGCAAAGGGTTTGGGGTTTTCCTTTTAAATCTGTTGATATGATCCTGAGCCCAGTTGTCCTGAGGGATTTAGGAGCTTTTTGAGGAGATTCCCTGGGTGTTGGTTGTTCAGCTTTGATCCAGAGCTCCCAGGTGGGGGCAGAGGGCGGGTGGTGCTTGTTGGAACTGCTCCCAGTTAGGCTGAGCCTCACTCAGGTGAGCTCATTCCCTGGGATGAGGCTCCTGGAGCTGGATAATGCTGAAGAGGGATTTTATTCCTTGTTTTGTTTGATCAGGGTGTTGAGGAATACAGGAGTAGGTCCATTTTAAGTTGAGTATCCGAAAAAAAGCTTCATTCCTTGGTCATGTCAGTGGCTTCAAACTGAAAGAAAGGAGGTTTTTAGATGGGATGTTGGGAAGGAATTCTTCCCTGGGAGGGTGGAGAGGCCCAGGCACAGGTTGGGCAGAGAAGCTGTGGCTGCCCCATCCCTGGAAGTGTCCAAGGCCAGGTTGGAGAAGGGAAGGCTCCAGGGAGACCTTAAACCCCTTCCAGGGCCTAAAAAGGGGCTCCAGGAGAGCAGGAGAGGGACTTGGGACCAGGGATGGAGGGACAGGACACAGGGAAGGGCTTCCCAGTGCCAGAGGGCAGGGAGAGATGGGATATTGGGAAGGAATTCCTTCCTGGGAGGGTGAGGAGGGGCTGGGATGGAATTCCCAGAGCAGCTGTAGCTGCCCCAGCCCTGGAAGTGCCCAAGGCCAGGTTGGAGCACCCTGGGCTGGTGGAAGGTGTCCCTGGATGGCCTTTAAGGCCCCTCCAACCCAAACCCTTCCACGAATTCCCTCTGTGGTTGTTTTGACCCCCCCTGGGCTTCGTGAAGAATCACCTCCCACCCTCTGCCTTTTCCTTTCTCTTTTCCAGACTAACCCCAATTACAGCCAAGAGAAGAACCGCTGCGAATACCTCCACAACAAACTGGCTCACATCAAAAAACTCATAGCAGAGTATGACCAGCAGCAGTTTTAGCTGCCACCTCCCCTCCTCCTCCTCCTCCTCCCCCCCTGGACTGGGTAGGGCAAAACAAAAAAAAAAAAAAAAAAAAAAAAATCCAGTCACCTGGACGTTCCTTTTTTTTTTGGTTTTTTGTTTTTTTTTTTTCCCTTTTATACACCCAAAAATCCCTTTCAGAGACGAGCATTAATTATTCCTCGTGGTCGAAGAACTTTCTGGGGATGACTTATGATGCTGAATCTTGTCGTGTCCACGTCCAGCACGCTCCTCCCGAGTTTGGGGTTGGTTTTTTTTCTTTTTGTTTCTTTTTTTGTTTGTTTGTTTTTTTTTTTTTAAAGCCTCTCGGAATGTAACTAACGGGATAAAACGAAATTAATCTGCTTATTTGGGTTTGACGCTGATTTTTGTTGTGGTTTTTTTTTTTTTTTTCTTCCCTGCTCAAACTGCTACAGCCACTTAAGGGAAGGAAAAAAAAAAAACAACAACACAACAAAAACCAGAAAAACACACCAAAAAAAACCACAAAAAGTTGCCTAAAAAAGCGACCGAAGCTCCCAAAGAGGTTAAGAATCTGTAGTTTTTTCGTTTTGTTTTGTTTTGTTTTTTTTTCATGGAATTAAAATTAAGTTTTTTGGCATGAAGTGTAATCCCCCAGCTCCACTTGGGGGTTACAAAGTGTCCTGCAGATGGTGAGGAACTGGAATTGCTGCTCCGAGTGCCCGTCGGAACGAGGGCTGCGCCTGCTCCCGGCACCGCGTAAATACACCACGTACCCAGAGCTCTCCTTGTCTGTCCCTGCTTTGTCATCTCTGGGAAGGGGGGGGGGTGGTTGTGGCAGCTCAGGGGGGTCCCCCCCTCGGCCAGGGCACAGGTGGATCCCCCTTTCCCCCCAAAATTACCCCAAAATCCCATTTTTTTCACCCCGCTCGTGCGTGATTTCCCCCCAGCCCGCCCGGTTCTCCTCCACCTGCCCCAGTAGCTGGGGAGATGGAGACCTGTCTCCAGCTCCTGTCCTGTCTTTTTGACTTTTATAATTTTCTACCGAGGCAGCCAAGGTTTTATTCATTGCTTAACGAGACTCTCTGGTCTATTTTTGTATCCAAAAAAAAAAAAAGAGGGGGGGAAAAAAAAAAAAAAGCATAAGCATCTTTTTCTAAAACTGTGCCTCCCTTTCCCTTTTAGGCCAAGTGTTTGGGAACTTTTCCTTGCAGTGTTACTAAAACTTATCAAATAGTCACCCAGAGGGAGTTATTTTATTCCTGATCCATGAGAGGAGGGGGTGGGGGGTTGCCTTGCTTTCTCCTGGGATTATTTTTTTTTTTTGTTTGTGTGTCCTTCCAAAGGAGCAGCAGCAAACCCTTCTCAGAGCAGTGTGAGAGCAGTAAGGTGCTTTTTTCCCACACAGATCCCTTCCACTGGTGTGCTTTTATCCAGCCAGCAGTTCTTGCTTCCTGATTTTTCCCCCCCCCCCTCCCTTATTTTGGATTGAAGGGAACATTTTAGAGTATGGCCAGGGTGTGAGAAACACTCCAAAAAGCACAAAGGTGTCCTTTAACTCTGCCATTCCTTCCTTTCTCTCCCCTCTCCCCTTTTTAATCCTGCCAGCCTGTGGGATTTGACTTCTTCCCGCTTCCGTTTATCTCAAAGTAAAGGATTCCTTCCCTGTGGAGTCTCCTTCCCTTGGAGGTTGCACTGAAGAGCCTTTTTCACCCTTTGAAGGAGCAGAATGGCAGAGTTAAGGGGGGAAATACTCCTCTTGCACGAGGAGTATTGGGAGTTTTTCCCGCCCCCAGAGAAACCAAAGTGGGTCCATCCGTTGTATTAAAAAAAAAAAAAGAAGAGAAAATTAACAACAATAATAATAATAATACCAATAATAATTCCATTATTGTCACACAGCCAAGGCCACTGCTTTGCTTTGTCACTTTATTCTGAGGTCTCTCCCTGGGCATCCAGCGCTCCCTGGGACTTTGCCATCCCCTTTTTTTTCCAAGGAAAAGGTGACGGCTGAAGGCCCTCGGGGAGCCCCTGGGGCAGCCACTGGTCCCCAAACCCAGCCCTGGTCAGGAGAGGGGGACCAGCACCCCAGAAACCCTCCCCAGGGCATTCCCAGTGGGAATCTCGGGGAATGCTTCGCTTCCCTCCCTCCCCAAATCACACCTGGAGCTCGGGGGGGTGTTGGCGTTGCCTCCGGTGCTTCTGCTGCTCAGGGAGAGCTGGGAAACCCCCGGGAATTCCGAAGGCAAGGAGCTTTGCTCTGGAAAACTTCTGTCCTCCTGCTCCGGGGGGTCTCACCCCGAGTTTCGGGAGCGGGGAGGATCCCGGCTGGGAATTCTTGCTCCCAGGTGGAGCCGTGGGGATCTGGGAGAAGAGGGGGGGGCCTTTAGGAGGGCCGGGGATGCCACAGCCCCCGGAGCTGCCGTGACACCATCGCTGCCAGACCTTCCAAATTCCAGGTTTTTTGGGGGCAAGGCTGAATTTCCCAGTGCTGGGGCTCGGTGGGGGCTTCGTTCTGGCTGTGGAGGAGCAAAGAAACTCGGGATGGCCGAAGAGGCAGCAGCTACAAACCCAGGATGAGTAAATTCTTCCATGGAAAACACTTCTCCTGATCCTTAATTTCAAAAGGGGGGTTTTTTTGTTTTGTTTTGTTTTTTGGGGGGGGTTTTTTTTGTTGCTCATGGGGGAGGGATAGAGATGGATCTCAGTCTTTATACATCTGCTATAAGATATTTTTGCAAACAGAGTTGTATACAAAGATGTATTGTGTACATTTACATGTATATTCTGGAACTTCTAAAAAATTTGAATATTAAAAAGAAAGAAAAAAAACCTGAAAATATTTAATGAATATCCAAACTGTGAGACCCAATTAGCATCCACCAACTTCCTGCTTCACTTTTCTTTTGGACTGTGTTAAAAGAATTGTAGTCGAATCTGCCTTTTTATTTTTATTTTATTTTATTTTATTTTTTCCTTTTTAGAGATGACGAAGCTTAGGCAAAATTTTGTGCTTTTTGGGTTAATAGAAACCAGTTCTAGGTGATTAAGTATGATCTTAACTTATTGATACTGTGTTTTACTTTGTAATATTGTACTGTGGATAAAAACTATATTGAGCCATGGAGTTGGAGTTTACAAAAAAGAGCTTTTCACTTTGCCAAAATGTTACAATTTCAAGGCAGCATAGTCTTCAGCTTTCCTAATCTTTTTTTTTTTTTTTCTTAAGAGCTAGTGTCCTTTTTTTTTTTTTGTACACTAAAAAAGCTGAATGCTGATTTTGCAACATATAATAAATTCACTGTATTGGAAAACAAGCAGACAATAAGGTTGTGGATTTCTTTTCAGTGCTTCTCCCTGCAAGGAAACTCGAAAAGGGAAAGGTGATAAATGGCTGGCGTGGAGTTTTGGAAGCAGGAAACGGGAAGGAACCGGGTCACTTGAGTGAGTTGGAAGTGTCAGAGCAGGGAGTAGGTAAGAAAGAGGAGAGGGAAGAGGTGCTTGGAGTGGGCCAACTCCTTGGAACGCTGCCCTGCTCCGGTGGGATCGGCCTCCAGCCCTGGCAGGAGCTGGGGATCTTCCCACTCCAGCACCACTGGGGTTTATTTTTGGAGGAAAAGCTGCTTTTGGGGCTGTGTCAGCGCAGAGGGTTGGAGGGGAGCACAGAGCCCGGGCAGTCCGTGGCCCTGGAGCAGCAGGAGGCTCAGGGATGCTCCCAATCCATGGAGGGGGCTCTCCCTTCCCCTCCCCGGGAGCCCAGCCGGGTCTGACGTGGGGAGTGAGTCACATCCCCGGGGAGCAGGAGCTGGAGCAGGAATGGCAGTGCTGGAGCGGCGAGGGGGGGATGAGCCTGGCACAGACACTGCCTGTCCACGCTGCCGGAGCTCCCACCTCCGCCCACCCGTGTGAATCATCCAGCAAAACCTCGGGATCCAAACAGCACCTCCGTTGTGTCCGGCCTGTCCCCTTCCCTGCTGTCTCCGGGCCTTGCTCTGGTCCTGCCTCCGGCAGCATCCCCGGGGCCGGAGCAGGCAGAATAAAATCAAGGACAAAACCACTCAGGAGCGTAAAATCCTTGGAATAGCTGCTGTTTTCTTGCTTTGGGGGCTCCCTCAAACAGCAGGTGACAGGGCCAGAGACCACAGTGATGGCACCGGATCCCCCCATGTCCATAACGAGCCTGCATTCACTTGGATTTAGTGCCCAACTCAGGATTGGATTTAGTGCCCAACTCAGGATTGGATTTAGTGCCCAACTCAGGATTCTACCTCCAAAACAGCAAACTGTGGAGAAGGTGAAAATAATCCAGGGCTCAAATAACATCTTACACAGCCCTGGCTTATTTTTTCAAGGTGGGGGGAACGGGGAGGTCTGTGCTCTGTCCTTGACCTTGGGGTGGACACAGCAGCAGCAGCAGCACCCACACAGGGAGATGATGCTCCCAGGGCCGGTGGGACTCGCTCACGGAGCAGGAGCTGGGCTTGATGCTCTTGCAAATCCCAAAATCCTCCAGTTTTAGTTTTGGGTGTTGCCTCCGAGCCAAGCTGTGCCCCCCAGCCCTCCCTTCCCCGTCTCGGAGCGGATCGAAGGCCGGCTCCTGTCCTGCGGGGACGCTCACACAGGAAGGGTCCCCATCCCCTCCCGGCTTTCCTGGGGAATTCCTCCCAACCGCTGGCAGCTCCCGGGGTCACGCACTGAGCTCATTAACTCGGAGCTGCCCCAGTGGAAATTTACTGGCTGCGTTTGCTGTGCCAGAGCCAGGCGGGCTCCTGCGGCCGCCTCCTTATCGGCACCGGGCCGGGAGCTCGGCGGGAGCTCCGGGAGCATCTCCTGTTTCAGGTGTCCCTCCCGAGCGCCGAAGCCAAGCCGGGGGCAGGCTCAGGAGGAGCCTTGGACTCCAATAATTCACTATTAATCCAGGTCACACCTGGGAAAAGTGTCACTTTACATGATATCGGGCACAAGCCGCCCTTTAAATCGGGGTCGTGCACGTGTGGGAAGGCCCCGGCCGGGTTTGAGTGATGCTGGAAACACGGGGACAGCACTGTGTGGGTTTTTTTTTTTCCCCCTGTGGTATTTTCCCTGTGGGTTTTTTTTTCCCTATGGGTTTTTTCCCCTGTGGATTTTTCCCCCCCGTGGTTTTTTTCCCCTGTGCACCTTCTGCTGGCGGCTCGTTTACAGGAGGAAGCTCATTAGAATAATTTGTCCTTGTCACGGTCCGATGGTGCTGGTCCCTCTCCCAGAGCAGCTGCTGCACCTCCAGCGCCGAGCACAACACCCCAAATCACCCCCTCCTCCCTCCCTCCCTCCCTTCCAGGCGTGGGCCCGGCCTTGGGCAGCCCGGAGGGTGATGGCACAGGGATAGGGAGGAGGATGAGGAGCTGCCAGCAGGGATAATGAAGGGTCAGAGCCTGGGATTGTGTTACACGAGGGGAAAAAAACCCAACTGTGCAGGGAGGAAAACGTGGCAAGGGAATGCTGGGGCTGTTTGTAGGGCGTCAATCCGGGGCTGACAGCGGGGCAGAGGAGGGGGGGGGAGGACACTTCGCACGGAGCATCCCCGGCTGCTGCGGGATCAGCCCCTTAACCTGCTTATAATGAACCACCGCGGGGTTTTAAGGGCACGACCGCGCGGCCGGAGGGGGAAGGGGGGGGCTGCGTGGCCTGGAAACCCCATCCCGGGGGGCTGGAGCGGGGGGTCTGGCGGGAGAAGGGGGGGGTTTAAGGGCACCATTGCTGGGGGAGCGGGCCGGTCGCTATGGCTCCGCCGTGGCCGCGCTGGCCCTTGGCCAGCCCCCGGCAGCTGGGCAGCGAAGGCGCTTGGGCGACCGGCCCGGGCTCCCGGCCCATGGACGCGTTGGGCGAGCGGGAACAAGGGAGCCCCGCTTTCTGCGGTGCCGAGCGTGGGAGGAGTGGGAAGGGAGTGTGTGTGTGAGGGGGGGGGGGGGGGGGGGGGAAAGGAGGACAATGGTGGGAGTTATTGGGAGGGGGGCGAGGAGAAAAAAAAAAAAATTTTAAGGGCTAAAAAAAAAAAAAAAAAAAAAAAAGGAAAAGCAGTGGAAAAATACCAGTTCTGGGCCCCTGGCAGCGCTGCCCCGGACCCTCCCCGCCCCAGGATTATTGTACAAAGAAATGTTATTTTTGTTTCAATAATTTGCTGAGGCACTGGCATTCCAGCGCGGGGCTCGTTTTGTTCCTCCAGCCCCGGCACCAAGGGATCATTGTTCCTCCACGGCCAAAGGGGGCCGGACGCGGCCCCCCCCCCCGGCACCGCCGTGCCCTCCACCACCGCCCGCCCGGCCGCAGGTGCCCTCCGGGGTCGGCCCCGGTGGGTCCCGTCCCGCTGTGCCACGCCGGAGGGTGGGTGGCGATGGCAGCGAGCCCGGGGAGCGGGGTGGGTGGCGGAGGAGGGCAGAGCTGTCCTCGCCGTGTCTGCGGGGAGCGAGGGTGGGGAGGGGGCCGGGGCGTTGCTCCGGCTCCGGGGGTCCCTTTGAAGCGGGGCGGCCCATTGAAAGGCAGCGGGACCCCGGGGGCCGCCAGCGGGGGGCCGGACACGGCCCCTTTCTCTGTGCCACCCCCCCCGGGCACCCCCCACGCTCCCCGGGCACACATGGGGGGGGTTGGAGGGGGGTGCGGCCGCACACAGGGCCCGGTGCCCCCCCGGGCATCGCCGGCGGGGACCCGGGGTGGGGGCTGCAGGGGTGGGGGGTGCCCGTGCTGGGGGCTCCAGGGGGCCCGTGCCAGGGGGTGCAGGGTGCCATGGTTTTTGGGGTGCCCAGACCAGGGGATCTGCAGTGCCGTGACCTTTGGGGTGCCGTGACCTTTGGGGTGCCATGACTTTTGGGGTACCATGACTTCTGAGGTGCCCAGACCAGGGGTTCTGGGGTGCCATGACTTTTGGGGTGCCCAGACCAGGGATGCTGGAGTGCCGTGACCTTTGGGGTGCCATGGCTTTTGGGATGTCCACACCAGGGGGTGCAGGGTGCTGTGACCTTTAGGTTGCCCATACCAGGGATCCCAGGGTGCCATGACCTTTGGGGTGCCCATACTGGGGGGGGCTGTGGGGTGCCATGACCTTTGGGGTGCCCACGCCAGGGGGTCCCAGGATGCCATGACTTTTGGGGTGCCCGTGCCGGGGTGCCGGTGCTGGCAGCAGCAGCAGCAGGGTGCCGGGGGGCTGTGGGGTGCCGGGCTGGCAGCCCCGTGAGAGCAGCGCCGTGGGAAGGCGCCCGCGATTCCCGGGCGCAGGAAGCCGCCGGCCCGGGGCTGTCAATGGCCGGAAGGCGACGGCGGGACCCCCGGCCCCGGCCCGGGACCGGCCCCGGCGACACTTCCCCTTCCCGGGTCAGCGGCCGCTCCCCCCTCCCCGACACCCCCCCGACACCTCCCGCCGCCCCCCCCCCGGTGCCGTGCCCGGTACCGGAGCCCCGCACGTGCGGCGGGAGCGGGCTCGGGGGGGTCCGGGGGACTCGGGGGGGTCCGGGGGGGCTCGGGGGGGGTCCGGGGCTGCCGGTGCCGGTGGGCACGTGCGGGGGGGGCGGGGCCGGGCGCGGGCGGGGCCGGGGCGGGGCCGCGGAGCCGATTAAGCGGCGGGAGCGGGAGCGGCCGCAGCGCGATCGCATCGTCCCCGCGGGGCAGCACCGGACACCGGGTACCGGCACCGGACACCGGGTAACGGACACCGGGACACCCGACACCGGGCACGGCCACCGGCACCGGGCATCGAACACCGGGCACGGGCACCGGACACCGGCACAGACACTGACACGGACACCGGCTCCGGCTCCGCCGCCTCCAGCGCGGCCCGGCCCGGTGAGTGCCCGCGGGGGCGGCGGGAGTGGCCCCCGGAGAGGTTCGGGTTTGCGACCCCCCGGGGGCGGGGACAGGCCCCGGTCCGTGTCCCCCCGTGCCCTCGGGAGGGTCCCCGTGTCCTCCGGCACTCCCGGGTGCTGGGACATCTCCTGTCCCCAGATCCCCTTTCCCCGTGGAAGCGCGGACAGCCTCGGTGCCCCTGTCCCTTGTGCCATCCCGGGACAGCCGCTGTCCCCGTGCCCCCTCTGCCACCCCCAGGAGCAGGGACAGCCCTGGTCCCCATGGCCCCCGGGACAACCCTTGGAGTGGGATCAGCCCTGGTTCCCGTGTCCCCTGCCCCATCTGTCAGGGCGTAGGGACAGCCCCTGTTCCCCAGTTCCCTGCACTCCCGGGAGCTGGGACAGCCCCTGTCCCCATGTCCCTGCACCCTCCGCACCCCAGGGTGTAGAGACACCCCCCGTCCCCACATCCCCTGCACCCCTTGGCACCCCCAGAAGCAGGGACAGCCCTGGTCCCCGTACCCCCTGTGCCACCCCAGGGTGCAGGGTGTCCCCGTGTCACCTGGGAGCCACCTCTGTCACCCCCAGGGAGTGAGCACAGCCCTGGTCCCCGTGTCCCCCACACCCCCGGACACCCCGGCGTGCAGGGATACCCTGGGAACATCCCTAGTCCCCCACGCCCTCCTGTGGCCCCTGCCACCCCCAGGGAGGGGACAGGAGGGACAGCCCTGAGGAGACCCTGCATCCCTCGGCTCACTGGGGGCTCCAGGAAGTCCCGGGGCGGGGGTCTCACCCCCTTTGCTCCCCGCCTGTCCCGTGGGCAGCAGCCGGTGCCGGGACACGGGTGGGGAGGGGCTGCGGTGGCCGTCCCAGTGCCACCACCACGCTGGGAGGGCGGGGAGCCAAGAGTCCCCACTGGCCACACAGCCACGTCCCGGCAGGGCGGAGGGCCCGGGGGGGCGGGTGGGGAGGGTGGAATTCGGGGGGGGGGGGGGGCCCGGCGTGCCAGGCCAGCGGCGCTGACACCCATTTCCTCCTATTCCAGCTCCAGGAACAATGGCAGAGCCATTCCTTGTGGAGAGCCCCAACGTCACCTACAGCAAGGACTTCATCGAGGCCAAGTACACGTACAGCACCGTGCACGTCTGCAAGGAGAACGGCGTCACCAAGGTGGGCAGGGGGGGAGGGCTCATGGAGGGGGCTGGGGGGGCTCTCCGCTCGTCCCCAGCTGTCTGTCCCCCGTGTCTGTGTGTCCCCAGGTGCGGCCGTGCTCCACCCGCTTCACCTTCCGCACGGCACGGCAGGTCCCGCGCCTGGGGGTGATGCTGGTGGGCTGGGGGGGCAACAACGGCACCACGGTGACGGCGGCGGTGCTGGCCAACAGGCTGGGGCTGTCCTGGATGACCAAGACCGGGTGCAAGGTGGGTGTCCCCAGTGTGACCCCAGAAAGTGTGTGTAGGGGGGGATGTCCTCAGTGTGACCTCAGCAGGGTGGGTGTCCCCGGCTGGACCCTGGTGAGGTGGTGTCCCCAGTGTGACCTCAGTGGGATGGGTGTCCCCAGTGTGCCCCAAACAAGGGGGGGTGTCCCCAGTGTGTCCTCAGCAGGGTGGGTGTCCCCAGTGTGCCCCCAACAAGGGGGGGTGTCCCCACTGTGACACCCCCCAGGGTGGGTGTCCCCAGTGTGACCCCAGTGAGGTGGGTGTCCCCAGTGTGACCTCAGCAGGGTGAGTGTCCCCAGTGTGACCTCAGCAGGGTGAGTGTCCCCAGTGAGACCAGACCTGCAAGGGGTCGTCCCCAGTGTGATCCAAGCAGGGTGGGTGTCCCCAGCGGGACCCCAGTGAAGGGATGTGTCCCCAGTGGGATCCCAGCAAAGGGGGTGTCCCCTGTGTGACCTCAGCAGGCTGGGTGTCCCCAGTGTGACCCCAGCAAGTTCCTGGGCCCCAGGGGCTGTCCCACAGGGATGGGGACACAGAGCTCAGCTGCACCTGTGTCCTGCACCCCAATCTCCTCCCTGCCCCCTCAGAGGGGCTCTGCAGCCCCAGCCCCCCAGTCTGGAGGTGCTGGGACCCCCCCAGTCCCCGTGCCAGCGGCTCATCCTCACTCTCTCCACCCCAGAAAGCCAACTACTACGGCTCCCTGCTCCAAGCCTCCACCGTGTGCCTGGGCACCGGCCCCACCGGGGACGTCTACGTGCCCTTCCGGGACCTGCTGCCCATGGTGCACCCCAACGACATCATCTTCGACGGTAGGTGGGACACCGGGGGGGGTGTGGGGGTCACCCTGAGCGCTTGTGTCACCCCGTGTCCCCCAGGCTGGGACATCTCCTCGCTGAACCTGGCGGAGGCCATGCGGCGGGCGGAGGTGCTGGACTGGCCGCTGCAGGAGCAGCTCTGGCCCCACATGGAGAAGATGAAGCCCCGGCCCTCCATCTACATCCCCGAGTTCATCGCCGCCAACCAGGAGGAGCGGGCGGACAACGTCCTCCAGGGCTCCATGGCCCAGCAGGTCCCGGGGAGGGTGGCACAGGATGGGGGGGGACGCGGGGAGGTGTGACCACAGCGGTGGTGACACGTCCCCTCCTCGGCCGCGTTCCCAGGTGGAGCAGATCCGCAGGGACATACGGGACTTCAAGGAGATCACCGGGCTGGACAAAGTCATCGTGCTGTGGACGGCCAACACCGAGCGGTTCTGTGACGTCGTGCCGGGGCTCAATGACACCGCCGAGAACCTGCTGAGGGCCATCGAGGTCGGGCCGCGGGCGAGGGGGAGCGGGAGGGTGACAACCCCGCCCCGGCGGCGCTGAGCCGTCCCCCTGTCCCCCGCAGAAAGGCCTGGAGGTGTCCCCGTCCACGCTCTTCGCCGTGGCCAGCATCCTGGAGGGCTGTGCCTACATCAACGGCTCCCCCCAGAACACCTTCGTGCCGGGGGCCGTGGAATTGGCCGCCCAGCGCCGCGTCTTCATCGGCGGCGACGACTTCAAGTCGGGTCAGACCAAGCTCAAGTCGGTGCTGGTGGATTTCCTGGTGGGCGCCGGGCTCAAGGTACGTGCTGGGGACAGGGAGCTGTCCTGGGCGGGCACCTGGAGGTGGCAGGGGGTGACTTTTGCCCTCACCCCCTGCCCAGACCAAATCCATCGTGAGCTACAACCACCTGGGCAACAACGACGGGAAGAACCTCTCGGCGCCGCAGCAGTTTCGCTCCAAGGAGATCTCCAAGAGCAACGTGGTGGACGACACGGTGCAGGCCAACCCCATCCTCTACGGGCCCCAGGACAAGCCCGACCACTGCGTGAGTTGGGGGGCGCAGGGGGTGACACACAGGTGGGGGTGACAGGGGGGTGACGGGGATGTGGCTTCGCAGGTGGTGATCAAGTACGTGCCCTACGTGGGGGACAGCAAGCGGGCGCTGGACGAGTACACGTCGGAGATCATGATGGGCGGCACCAACACCATCGTCATCCACAACACCTGTGAGGTGCGTGGGGGGCGGCCGGGGTGTCCCTGCAGTGTCCCCGGGGTGTCCCTGGGGTGTCCCTGCACTGTCCCCTCGGTGCCAGGGGGTGGCTCCTCACCCCTCGGTGCCCGCAGGACTCGCTGCTGGCCAGCCCCATCATCCTGGACCTGGCCATCCTGACGGAGCTGTGCCAGCGCATCACCTTCTGCACCGAGGCCGATCCCGAATTCCAGGGCTTCCACAGCGTCCTCTCCATCCTCGCCTTCCTCTGCAAGGCCCCGCTGGTGCCCGAGGGCACCCCCGTGGTCAACGCGCTCTTCCGCCAGCGCAGCTGCATCGAGAACATCCTGAGGTACCCGGGGGTCCCCCCGTCCTCGTGGGCACCACGTCCCACCCGCCCCCATGCCCACGGTGGCACCCAAAGGCTGGCAGGGGTCCTGTCGGGGGATACCCAAGGTGGCAGCACCAGTGGGCCCCAGTGCCCGTCCATGGGGTGTCCAAATCCAGCAGGTCCTGGAGCCCAAGGCCTGGGGTGCCCGGTGCTGCTGGGTGGGGTCCCAGTGCCAGTATGTCCTGACGGGTGATGCCCACAGGTCCTGGGGGTCCCAGCACCTGGTGATGCCCAGCACCAACAGGTCCCAGCACGGATGGGTCCCTGGTTCCCAGTCCTGGGGTGCCCAGTGGGAGTGGAGTCCCAATACCCAGGGGGTCCAAGACACACAGACCCTGGTACCCAGTGCCCAGGGGGTCCTACACCAGTGGGTCCCAGTGCCCCATGCCCAGGGTTCCCAGTGCCTGGGATGCCCAATTCCAGTGGTTCCCAGTGCCAAATGCCTGTGGTTTTCAGTGCCTGAGGTGCCCAATTCCAGTGGACTCTGGTGCCCAGTGTTAATGGGTCCCAGTGCCCAGTGCTGAGGTGCCCAACCCCAGCAGGTCCCAGTGCTCACTGGTCCCAGCACCAGTGGCTCCCAGTGCCTGGGATGCCCATCCCGTGCCCCCAGTTCCCAACACACCATGTTCCCCACCCTGTGGGTGCCCCGTGCCACCCCCACCCCCCTTCCCCAGCCCCGGGGTGCCCACCCCTGACCCCTCTTCTCTCTCTCTGTGCCCCCCCAGGGCCTGCCTGGGGCTGCCCCCCCAGAACCACATGCTGCTGGAGCACAAGATGCAGCGACCGGCCCCCAGCCCCAAACGTGCCTGTCCCGGGGGGGCCTCCTGCCCCTTGGCCCCCAAGAAGAGCCCGGTGCCCACCCAGCTCAACGGGCACCCCTGTGCCCCCTGGCCGGGGCCCCCCCACACCCCCCTGCACGTCGACGGGGCCGACTAACCCCCACTGCTCCTTTTCTATTTGGGATCAGCTTTTTAGGGGGGTGGGGGGGTGGATTTGGGCAGGGGCCCGGGGGAGGGGGGGGTCCATGAGTTGTTTCCTCTCCCCCCCCCAAAACGCCGCCGGCGACTCCAAACTGTGAAGCTTCGTACCCGCCAATAAACCCGGAGCACAGAGAGACCCCCCCGACTCAGCTGCTTCCTGGGGGGCTCCCACCGGGGTCTTGGGGTCCCCTCAGCTCCTTCCTGCTGCCCCTTCCCCCGGGGCCCCTCGCCCGGCTCGTGAGGTGCCCCTCGACTCCTTCCTGGGGTCCCCATCACCTGGTTCTTGGGGACCTCTCAGCTGGTTCCTTGGGGGTCCCCCTCACCTGGTTTTGGGGTCACTTTCATCTGGTTTTGGGGTCCCTTTCACCTGGTTTTGGGGTCCCTTTCACCTGGTTCTTGGGGTCTCCTCACCTGGTTTTGGGATCCCTTTCACCTGGTTTTGGGGTCCCTTTCACCTGGTTCTTGGGGTCCCTTTCACCTGGTTCTTGGGGCCCCATCACCTGGATTTTGGGGGTCCGTCACCTGCTCCCTGGGTCCCCTCAAGTGCTTCCTGGTTCCCCTTCACCTGCTTCCTGGGGTTCCCCCACCTGGTTTTTGGGGTCCTTCACCCGGCTCTTGGGGTCCCCATCACCTGGTTTTGGGGGTCCTTCACCTGGTTTCTGAGGTTTCCCTCACCTGGTTCCTATGGGTCCCCCCACTTGGTTTTTTGGGGACCCCTCACCTGATTGCTTGCCCCCCCACACCCCCCAAAACGAGACCCAAATGACGTCACCTTCTGAAAAAAAATCAAATTACATTTATTGATGCAGGGTGGGCAGGGGATTTGGGGGGGTGTTGGTTTTTTTTTTATTATCATTTTAGGGGTTTTAATATTTTTTTTTTTTTTTTTTTTTTTTTTTTTTTTTAATTTTTTTCTTTTTTGGTAAGTTTTTATTTTTATTTTTTTTTTGGGGGGGGGTGGTCCCCTCCCAATTTTGTTTTGATAAGCAATGGGGTGGGGGGGTCTAAAGGGCTTAGAAATGAGGAGGGGGGGGCCCTACACAGAACGACTACACCTATTGGGGGTGGGGGGTACCCCTATGGGGGCTTGGGGTTGCCCCCCACCTCGGGGGGGGGGTCACAAGGGGGTCCCCCTGGTGTGGGGCTGTACAGGGGAGGGGGCCTGGGCGCACTTTTTTTGGGGAGGGGGGAGCTTTGGGGTGTGGGGTGGGGTGTGGGGTTTGAGGTCCTTTCTGTTATAAAAGAGGAAAAAAAAAAAAATCAGGGAAGAAAAAAAAAAAAGAAAATAAGAAAAAAGCAAAAAAAAAAAAAAACAACCCAAAAAAAACCCAAAACCACAGACACAAAAAAAAAAATTCCTTCATATTAAAGTGGTCCCTGGTGGGGGGGGAGGGGGAATTTGGGAGGGGGGGCCCCGGTCTGGCGCTCGGGGGGGGGGCCGGGGATCACAGTGCTGGCTGAGCACACAGACGGGGCTGGGGGGGGGCTCGGGACCCCCCCTGGGGCTGAGGGGGGGATTGGGACCCCCCCCGGGGTTTGGGGAGGGGCTGCTCTCTGCACTGGGACCTGCCCTATAGAGCTCTTGGAGGGGGGGCTCCATGGGGGGGGGTATGGCTTGGCCCCCCCACTCCTTCCCCCCCACCTCCAGCACAGCCTGGAGTGCCTCTGGATTTTGGGGGGGGGTCCTGCACCCACACAGGGGGGGCGGTGCTGGCGGTTTTAACCCCCCTCAAGGGCTTTGGCAGGGCTGGGGGGTGGCTGTGGGCCCCCCCAGTATGGTTTGGGGGGGTACTGGGAGAACTGGGAGGGGGTCACACCCTCCCAGAATGATGGGGTGGGTCTGGCACCACCTGCCATGGAGGGTGGGGGGCACCATGTCATGAAACCCCCCCTAAAATACCCCCTCCCCAGGCTGGTACCACCCCAAGGGGGGGTAAAACACCCCGTAACAGCCCCCCCTGCACCCCCCCGAGGTGCCAGACACCCCCCCAGCACCCCCGGGGGGGGGGATGATGTGGTTGGAAAGGGGGGGGGTTGTTCCCAGTGCTGGAGGTGAGGGGGGGGAGGGCAATAAATGGGGTCCCAGTACATGGCAGGGGGGGATCCCAGTGCTGGGAGGGGTCCCAGTACTGGGTGGGGGGGTTGTCCCAGTGCTGAGGGGGGGGGCAACAAATGGGGTCCCAGTCCATGGGGGGGGGTCTCCCAGTGCTGGGGCCGGGGGTGTCAATCCCAATACTGGGAGAGCTCCCAGTTCTGGGGCTGGGGGGGTGTCCCAGTGCTGGAAAAGGGGGGGTCCCAGTACTGGAAAAGGTGTGTGTGGGGGTCCCAGTGCTGGGAGAGGGGGGGTGACCCTCACCCCAGGAAGGGGAGTGTGGGGGGGGCAGATAGGGGGGGTGGGGGGGGCGTGTGTCGGGCAGCAAATAAGTCACGTGACTTATTTCCAATCATCATCATCATTAATTTTTTTTTCTCTTCCCCGCGGGTGTTTTTCTGTTTTGTTTTTTTTTGTTGGTTTTTTTTTTTTTGTTTTGTTTTTGTTGTTGATTTTTTTTTCCTGCTCCTTTAGCGTATTTTTTGTCTTTTTTTTTTGTTTTTTTTGAGGTGGGGTGGGTGGGGCCGATCGTTACAATTAACGAATTCGGTTGTGGTTTTTTTTTTGTTGTGTTTGTTGTTTTTTTTTTTTCGGTGATGGGCGAGGGCGTCTGGCTGTCGGCGGGGGTTGGGGGGGTCTCACACGCTCATTGTCATGCTGGGCGAGTACTAAGAGAGAGCGGAGACACCGCAGGGTTAGCGCGGGGTGGGGGCACCCGCACCAACGCCCCCTCCCCTTCTCCCATCGCCTCCCGAGCCCGGCACCCCCCTCCCCTTGCTGGCACAATCTGGGGGGCTCGCTGCTGAGATTTGGGTGTCACTGATGACCCCCCTCCCTCCCCGTGTCCCTGTAGACCCCCCACCACCCCCCCGGGGGGGTCCCCGGTGTGTCCCTTACGCTGTCGCTTTGGAAGGGGTTTAGGAAGTTGCTGCTCAGCTCGGCGTCGTCCCGAGGGGTCCCGGGGGGGTTGCTCAGGGCCCCCAGGTTACTGGGGGAGCTCTGGGGGAAAGGGGGGACAGAAAGGTTAGGGAGGGGGGGAATAAGGGGGGTTGATATGGGGGGGGGGTCTTAGTGCGTTGTAGGAGGGGAATAAGTGGGGTCTCGTTGGGGTGGGAGGATCCCAGGGCACTGTGGGGGGAATAAATGGGGTCCCAGGGCATTGTGGGGGGCACTAAATGGGGTCCCAGGGCACTGAGGGGGGAATAAATGGGGTCCCAGGGCATTGTGGGGGGCACTAAATGGGGTCCCAGGGCACTGAGGGGGGAATAAAAGGGGTCCCAGAGCATTGTGGAGAGGGGGGTGAATAAATGGGGTCCCAGGGCATTGTGGGGGGCACTAAATGGGGTCCCAGTACAAGAGGGGGGGAATAACTGGGGTCCCACTGGAGTGGGATTGTCCCAGTGTACTGTGGGGGGAATAAATGGGGTCCCAAGCATTGGGGGGGAATAAATGGGGTCCCAGGGCACTGGGGGGGGTCCCAGGGCATTGGGTGAGGGAGAAATAAATGGGGTCCCAGTACATGAGAGGGGGAGGGAGAAGTAAATGGGGTCCCAATATATGGGGGGGTCTCAGTACATGGGGAGTCCCAATAATGGGGTCCCAGTACATGGAGGGAGGTTGTCCCAGTACAAGGAGGATCCCAATAAATGGGGTCCCAGCACTGTGGGGGTCCCAGGGTTCCCACACTCACCTTTGGCAGCCCATCCATGTCCCCGGAGCCTGCCGGGATAACGGGGGGGTGTGTTAGTGACCCCCCCAGTCCTTGTGTGTGACCCCCAATCCACGTGTGTCCCCCCAAACCATGTGTGTCCCCCCAATCCATATGTGTCCCCCCAATCCATATGTGTCCCCCCCAATCCGTGTGTCCCCCCCAATCCATATGTGTCCCCCCCAATCCGTGTGTGCCCCCCAATCCATGTGCCCCCCCCAATCCACATGTGTCCCCCCCAATCCATATGAGCCCCCCAATCCATGTGTCCCCCCCAATCCATGTGTGTGCCCCCCAATCCATATGTGCCCCCCCCAATCCATGTGTCCCCCCCAATCCACATGTGTCCCCCCCAATCCATATGTGTCCCCCCCAATCCATATGTGTCCCCCCCAATCCATGTGTCCCCCCCAATCCATGCATCCCCCAAACTGCATCCCACCAATCCATTTCCCCTCTCCAACCCATGTGCCCCCCCATCTCCTCCACAAGCCCATCCTCCCACAGATGGAGCTCATGTCCGGCAGGACAAGGGGCCTGGGGGTGCTGGGGGACACACAGGACCCCCCTATCCCGGGGTGGGGGGTTCCAGAGGGGGGGAACACCCACCTAGGGATCCGTTCATGTGATGCGGCTCCATCGCGCTCATCCCGCCCATGGGCCCCTCGGGGCCGGGCCCCATCGGGAACTGGGAGGGAAAGGGGGGTGGTGATCAACGTGGAGGGGTGTGAGAAAAGTCGGGGGGGCCCCCTGTCCCCCCCTGACCCCCATCCCTGTCCCCCCACCCCTGTCCCCCCCATCCCATGGCTCACGTTGGGCCGGTTCCCCGCGGGGCCGATGGGGTTCATCATGGTGTACATGTTCTCACTGGAGTTGGTGGAGTCTGGGGGGGGGGGTGGAAAACACATGGGGGGGGTGTGTAAGTGTGGCCCTCACCCCCCCCCCCAAA